GATGCTCATATATCTCAGCTGTTTACAGAGTTTATATCAAAATCTGGATACGATCCGAAGAATTTTTGTGGAGTGTCAATCGATGATTTACCTGTTGTAGAGGGAATAGTTGAACGAAACATATTCATTTACGATTTTGATATTCAAGAAGGAGAGTATGTTGGAGAATTAGCCAGGCGACGTATTGGAAAATTTGAAAAAACGGTGAAATTGCTAAGATTCAACAACCATATCATTCACACGAATGATATTGATTCCTTCTTCAAGTGTTTTCGATGTCCTAGCTGTGACTGTTTCTTCAACAGATCAGACAACTTCAACAGACATCTTCTAACGTGTAAAGATAGAGTGCGACATATTTATCCCAAAAACGCGTACACACTGCCGGAAACAATATTCGAGAAATTGGATGGCTTCAACATTCCCTACACTGAAGATCAGAAATTGTTTAGTAATGTTGCAGTTTTTGACTTCGAATCGATTTGTGTTCCCACAGAAGAATTGAAAGCAACTGAAACAATTACTTGGATTGGAAAACGTGTCTCTATTTCCGTCTCAATATCTTCAAATCTGCAAGATGCTCCAATTTTCTTGTGTGAAAAAGATCCAGAACTTCTAATAATTGCTTTTGTTTCCAGCTTGGAACTTCTGGCTGAAAAAAGCAAACTACAAATGAGAACCAAGTTTCAAGAAATCGAAAACATGGTCAATGATGGAGTCGAAAAAATTTTTGATAAGCTTAATGCTAGAACATTAACTAAAAGACTAGAAGTCTTCGATTATGAAGATGAATGTGTTGAGGATGGCGACGAAGATGACATGTCGACACAATTCTTGAGAATTCAAAAAAATCAGTTGAACGACTTGAAACAGCATTTAGAGCTCTATGTTAATATCTTACCGGTGTTCGGTTTCAATAGCGGCAGATACGATCTGAACCTTATCAAATCTTATTTGATTCCATACCTTATATGTGATAAAGAAATCGAACCAACAGTCATTAAAAAAGCAAATGACTTCATATCATTCAAATTTGGAGATGTTCAGTTTTTGGACATAATGAAATTTCTTGGAGGGGCAACAACATTGGATTCGTTTCTGAAAGCCTATAAAGCAAGTGAGACCAAAGGTTTTTTCCCTTACGAATGGTTTGACAGTCCAGACAAGCTTGACTGTACGGAATTGCCTCCATATGAATACTTTTTCAGCAAACTGAGAAACCACAACCCTCTCGAGAAAGATTTCAACGATTACCAAAAACTGGTTAATGGAGGACTTGATCAACAAAGTGCGCTGAAAAAGTTGCGTATTCAATCAGTTCTACCAACAGGTTTTAAAAATTACTCTTATTTGAAAAACATCTGGGAACAACACAGTATGATTACTTTCAAAGACTTCTTACAATGGTTCAACAACAAAGATGTTGTTCCTACTCTTGAAGCTATGCAAAAAATGATAGAGTTTTACCATGATAAGGGAATTGACATGCTAAAACTGGGATGTACGCTTCCAAATCTTGCAAATATCTGCTTACACAAGTCGACAAATCACAAGTTTTACCCGTTCTTTGAAGGAGATAAGGATTTATGTGAGAAAATTAGAGAAGACATGACTGGTGGTCCATCAATAGTTTTTACGCGAAAAGCTGTTGTCGACCAAACTTATATTGGTAAGTCGTCAAATAATTGTAAGACAATAGTTGGAATTGACGCTAGCCAATTATATCCATTCTCAATGTGTCAAGAGATGCCAACCGGACTTTACACAAGATGGGAGTATGACTCTGAAACTGATCGTTTGAAAGCTAGAAAGAACAGAACAAGAAATTTCGAGACCATGGTTATGTCCTTTTATCAAGAATTGAGACCAGAGTGTAAAATTCAGAGTTTTTACACAACCGGAAAGCAGAAAAAAATTGACTGTTTTCATGTTGATGGTTACTGCGATCACTGTAAAACAGTATTTGAAGCTATGGGTTGCTACTATCATTTCTGCTCATGCCAAGAAACCCGTCCATCGTTGTCAGAACAAGTGTTTGAAAGGGGAAATAAGAAGCGAGAAGTGGCTGAGTTGAGACGAGAGTACATAAAAGAAAGAGGTTACAAAATTCAGGAAATGTGGGAGTGTGAGTGGTGGGAGCATTTCAAAACAGATTCTTCAGTCAAGAATCATGTCAAGACAAATTTTCCCTACAAAAGACCTCTGTCTACTGATTATTTACTTGAAAAAATAAAGAACAGATCTCTTTTTGGTTATGTGCAATGCGATGTAATAGTTCCCGACGAGTTGAAAACTACATTTTCAAATTTTCCTCCAATATTCAAAAATATTGACGTCTCCCGAAACGATATTGGAGAATACATGAAAAACTATGCCGAAGAGAACGATTTGCTGAAAACCCCACAAAGAATGTTGATTTCCAGTTTTAAATTAGAAAATGGTACAATCATCACACCTCTTCTTAACTTCTATCTAAGTGTTGGACTTCAATGTACAAAAATGTATCGTTTTGTTGAGTACACACCAAGAAAATGTTTCAACAAATTTGTTCAATCTGTTGTTGATGCTCGACGAGAAGGAGACGAGAATCCACATTCTGGAGTTGTTGCTGAGACGATGAAGCTTCTCGGTAACAGCTCGTACGGTTAATTATTATGGACAGATCCAGACACACGATAACCAAATATCTCGGCGATGAGAAGACACACAAAGCAATAAATGAGAAGTTTTTCAAACGATTGAATGTTGTGAAAAAAGACTTATATGAAGTAGAATTTTTGAAGTCAACAATTGAACATAGAGAACCAATTATTGTAGGTTTTTTCATTTTTCAATACGCCAAACTTAGAATGTTGGAGTTATACTACAACTTCTTCCACAAGTATTGCGATGAGAATAAATTCGAGGAGTTAGAGATGGATACGGACTCTTTGTATCTAGCATTAGCAGAAGAAAACTTGGACGATTGTATATTACCTGAGAAAAAAGCTCATTGGACACTAATTCGTCGAAATGATTGTAGAGACGACTTTATAGCTGATGCAATAATAATTTTTTTACACGTACATGCTGCGCTGTTCACAAAAAGCATGACAAACGAGAACCTGGATTATTTAAAGAAGAATTTCGCTGCACTGAAATGTTGTGCCTGTGCAGCAAGACATATTGCTGCTATGATAGTAAGAGCGACATTTTTAAACTTAGCAGCAAAGGACTCAACAAAAGAACGCTAGAAGACACTGGGGATGGACCAATGTCTAAAAACAGACGAATTCTTGACGAAGCTGTAAATTTGAAGTCGACCAATCGCGGATTCAAAACCTCCAACTATTTAGTTGGAGCATATGAACAAACTAAAAAAGGACTCAGTTACTTTTACCCGAAAAGGGAGGTACTTGATGATGGAATACGTACTAAGCCATTGAATTTGTAAATGTAACATTTAAACTATACTTAAAATTCATACCATACAATGATTTACATGTTATTTAACTTTTCAACTGTAATATAACAATTTACAGTAATTTAAATTTTTTTTCTGAAAAACTGTATTTCTCTTTGAAGCTTCAGTTAGGATTTAGTATTGTTTCAGACACTTTCGGTTTAAACTCAAATGGTTTAAAACAAAATAAAAATCATATCTTAATACAATGAAAAAATCTATGACCTAGAGAATCTTAAAACAAGGTAAGATCGGGCGACAAAAATTTTTTGAAACTTACCATCTGAAACCTTACCATCTTAATACATAGGAAATCTATTCCCTATCTTAATACATAGGTTGGTGACCGGATACTCTATAGATTATCTTAATACATGGGGGTCACCAACCACCACCCCCCCCCCACTCTCCCTCACTCATATACTACTGATGAGGATTATGTGTTTTACTTGAATAAAAGCAAGCTGTTGCCAATTTCACTTACATAATTATTAAAAAACTATTTTATTTTTCTGAAAAACATTCTTGATAACGAGTTGCCGATAAATTTTCTTAATTTTTGGACAATCGACTAAGGCCCTAATTCGACAAATGTCTTGTTTCCCCCGAACGGGAAACAAGACGTTTTTGAGCATGCCAATGACAACACGGAGCAAACTTTGCAAAAATTTCTTTTACCGTGTCGCAGAAATGTCAAACACCCTAGCGAGATCGAACAATTTGCCTGGCTATGAACGTTTTCAAGAACCTGTTATTGTTTGACAAACTACTAACATTTAAATACTCGATTTATCCAGAGTCATGGTTTTCTAGTTTATTTTACTAACTTTGTGATCAATGACTAAGAGCAACTAATACCCGCCTTGCGGGTTTAATTCAATCTTATTATTAAGACTTCTGCCTTTATAATATCGGCTTAGTGGCCTTATTTTGGTTCATTTGACGAGCAATTTGAGTTTTTTGTTTGCGTGAGCTGCGGGCGAGGGGGACTTTTTACTTTTTTATAAGTCTTAACTCTCGTTGATTTTTTTTCGGCTTAAAGGGTTTCTGCTAAGGTATTTTGGGCTTTTTTCAAATGGCAATTCACATTCTATTGCCTTGTATAATTGTTGTATCGCAAGTGGTGCAAAGCTCAGCTTCCCCTCTTGGTAATTATAATCTTTTTTACCACGACATTCCGGAAACTGAGTGACGCTTTAGCAGCAAAACAACCACGCCTTAGCGGGCAAAAGACTGAATCTGGAATACTCAACGAACTTTCCTCGTGACCAATTATTTCAAAGAAAGCTTTATTTGGATGTATCTGACAATTCATGACGGCTCTTCGGCATTCCAATTCGTGATTACATATAACTATTAAGGTCAAGTTAATCAATTTTGGGCTACTTTTATGATATTATGAGCTGCTTTGATTTATTTCCTAACTAAACTTGAAGCTTATTTTAGAATCTGAAATAGATTAACTTCCCGATTAAGACGAAAGGACTCAGTTTGAGTTGCTAAATAACATTGGATTATGGGAACACTTTTTGTTGCTTTCGGTTTTGGGTCAAAAATGTCTGTGATAATTTTGAATTACTCGTGCTGTTAAATTTAAACACCATATTACATCAGTCCGTTTGGTTATTAAAGTAAACAAAATCAAGCGTTTGAATAATTGCACCCTTTTAATGAACAAATGGAAGAGTTACGAAGAAGTCAAAACCAGTGAAAGTATAATGATGAAATGAAGCAACGAAAAAAACTAACTAGCAAATGGTTTCAACAACAACATTTGCAAACGTCTAAATAAGCCCAATTAACCATAAACAGAAATAAACATTAACTTGCGCAATTTCGAATATTCGTGCAAAAACATGATTCTGAGCAAACAAACAGGAGCCAGGCCCGGCTTTTTGAAGAGCGAATTTAATGATCTTAAAAGGGAAGCACCTAAACTATGAAGTAAATTGCCATATATAAGACGTTAAGTTCAAGTATGCACAATCTTGCTATCCTGAATCAGATATCTAAGTCTGGATATTAATATGTATATCAACTCAATTTTAAAGAAAAAGTAAGGTTTTTACAACTATAAATTTCAGTGACGTTGAAATTTGAATGAGCACGAGATTTGAAGGCTGAATCATTAGTGGATCTAAAGTTACGTCAAAATGGTTTCTAAATGATGAGAATGTTTGAAACTAGGTTTCAAATGTATAATCGAGCAGCTGAGTATGCAAAAAATAGGTTTCAAATTTATTTAGATTAACTTCGAAACATTGTACGCCAGCTGTACATTGTATCAGTATCTGATTAGGACAAGAGGCTAGATTGAATCCTAAATTTGGACCAAAATATCCAGAAAGATATTCAAGCAACAGCGCTCGTGGCGTTACTTTGAACTAATATTACGAAAAACATATCGCAAGAACCTACAATACCCCGGAAAATTCATGACATTGTATTCTAACAAAAATCTTTATCGTAAGTAGACGAAGACCTCATTACAGTAGGTAGAAAAGATACTGGTACCAACTAAGCCCAATCAACATAGAACCAGAACTCGTATAGAAAGCACCTAACACCAACACTCAAGGTCAGTTTCATCTCTCAGTGTTTTTGGTCACGTTTGCAAAACTGGCGGGTCTTCTTTTGTGGGGCGGAATGGGCGATGAAGACTTCACATTGTTGCTGTTGTTGTAAGGATCGCTGTTTACAGGCGAGGCAGTATTGTCGTCCCTCCTCAAATTGAAACTGTTACGATTCGAATTAGTGCCCTTACTCTTACCCGAGTTCTGATTTTTCCTCGTCAGTGTCGGAAAGTCGATATCGTTGTTCAAAAAATTAGGAGTCGATTGCTTTTCGCTGTAGTAGCTCGGGTTGGTGTAGTCGCTGTTTGAGTTTGGACCAAAGAACATTCCCGTAGTTGCTTCTGAACATATTTGATGATCAAAATTGTGTTCATGCATTTTGAAGCCTGCTTGCACCGATGATTTTAGATCCAAACTTGATCCCGCAATGGTCCTTTATAAAGCATGCACAAACAAAAAGGAAATGAAAGGAGACATTGAGTTACTGGTTGATTGTTTTCTATTTTTTCAGGCTTATAGGTTTTGATTCCAGGTGAATCTTTTTCCATGCAATTGTACTGATATTAAACTTGTGCTATTACACGCTATTATACTTTGAGAGCAATCCGCGGACAATCATTTGTCATGCAGAACAAAATAAATCGGTTAAAAAGTATTGATTTTTGAAAAACGTTCTTTGTAATTTCCATAGTTTTTGAACTTTTCGTGTTGAGAAAAGCGCTGATTGAAGCTTCAAAAATTGAATTTCCAAAGCTATGAATTTATTTTTCATAGCTTAATAAAATAACTTTTGCTCCAATGGCTCGCTTTATTCGCTATAAAGTTTGACTGAAAAAATACCACCCGTTTTTTTTTTCGATACAGAAAATGTCTTTCAAGGTTTTGAATTTTGATTGAATCAAGATTTAAGGACCTTAAAATTCTCAACTCCATATAACTAATGTTTGCAAGGCGACAAAAAAGAAGAAAAAAATAATCACACCCGAAGTTAAAGTTCCCATTTTTAGTGTGGATTAGTAGCCTATTTCAAGTGCTAGTCATTAATATCTATTAGTTGATTACGTTTAAGGTTTAAACATTAAGGGTTTCAATAGTTAGCAAAACTAAAAAGACTAAATTTAGCGAACATAATTGTAAAAATGACAACTAACTCAAAAGACAGCGAAAATAAATCGACGTCTAAAAGATTGCATCACCTTAAATCTTGAAAACTACCCCAACTAAAAACGCAAAAGATCAAATCTGAAGGTGAACAACATGAAAAAAAAATCCTGAAAAAAAAATAAAAATTCAACACGACCTATATAGGTGCTTTCACTCTGTTCATTAATATTTAATAGTGCACTTTTTAGTGCCATTTGCTCTTTCGTTATTGGAGACCGTGATTGGTATTATCTTTCTCAAGTAATTTGAATTGAAATTGAAAAGAAATTAAAAGGCAACCGCAAAACAAACTTGAGCGAGAAAAACGTCTCGGTCTTATTCCTGGAGCAAAATCAACACGACCTGATAAATAAATCGTTGATTGACACTTAAACATTAGCTGGGCAATTAACAAACAGGTAAAACGGAACCTGGATTGCAAGCTAGCAACTAGAAAACGACAAAAGAAAACATCGCCAACAGACAGTTGGAAAAGCGATCGCAAATAAACAAAAAAATAGAATTGGTTTTTGAAAAAACTTCAACTTTCGAATCTCAAACACACAAATAAATGGCCTTAAAGTTCTTTGAACTTCAAGAACAACTCATTTTAGCACTTTTTTGATAAAATTATTTCAATTTGAGAAGACTGGATTATTGGGAAAATCAAAAATTAAATTCCACTTTCAAAACTAGAAAAGAATCACGTTTTTTTGCGCTTTTTCAGGTTTCATAATTGGAGAGTGCATTTTGCCTACCTTCTAGCAAATGAATTTGAATTAAACTCAAAAAGTCCACATATACCTTATAGCAATCATATGTGCGTTTATAAGTTTGACTGCACTTCTTTCGTTACAAGAGCATTTTAAATCTTTTCCTGAAAAAAATCATCAAGAATTATATAGGAGTCTGAACTACGTTCATCGATTGTTAATCACTAAGTCAAAAAACATATTCGAAAAAAAAATTGATATTCTTTTGTTAAAATTATAAATTCAAATTCATGAAGACAGTCGGCAAACACAACCACCAGCAATAATTAGCTGTTAGTATCATTCCAGGAACAGCTGTTAAGCCGAAATCTCTTGGGAAGATGCATACAAAGCAAAAAAAATTAAAACATGTCAAAAATTGTTGTCACAAAAAAATTGGAGCTCATTTAGAACTTGCATCACAACCTTTATAACCCTTACAACTTTTACATCACAAACATCCTGATCTATTTTGTAAACAATTCTTAACTTATGCCAATTGAAGGACGCAAAATAGGCTGCATAAGCAGACTCAAAATATATCGAAATCATTATAATCAGGAAAGAAAACAAAATTCTCTATTCAGAATCCCTATTGGTAAATAACAAGTAACAGTACGCCCAGGGTGACCACTTTTTTGAGAGAAAAATGAAAAATAGTGACTATGACAATTTTTGAATTTTTTCGAACTTTTTTTAGGACCAAATTAATTTTCCAAGCTCTGCCAAAGCACTAAAAAGTCCCTGTTTTGGCCAAAACCAAAATTTCTACGCCGCAGGCATAATTTTGAATAAACAGCAGGTTGAAAAAGTCGTTTTTAGGCACTTTTTGAAAAATTTTGAAAAAAATGCGTTTTTTCGGCGCGCGCTACCCCATCAATATTAGTATATATTAACGCCAAAAGCGCCTTTAGAAAATTTTTAGGGTCTGCAACCACAAATGGGAAATGGATATCTCAAAATAAAACCTAGAGAAAAATTCAATTTCATGCATGAAAAAAGTCCATTTTTTTTCAGATGGCAATTATTGAAAAAAAAACGGAAATTGAGCAATCGAAAATCCGAAAAAAAACTTTTTTCAAAAAAAGATTGAATTTTTTTTCGGATTTTCGATCGCTCAATTTTGTAAGTAATATGAACAAAGTTGCAATATCAATGCTGCTTTTGTGACATTTTATCTCAGCATTTGCACGTGTTTGAAAAAAAAAACGTTTCTGACAGAGTTGTAAAAAATGTTTTACAAGACTCTAGATAAACTTAATTCCTCGATATTACAGAAAGCTGGGACAAGGCTTGATGATGTTGCAGATTATAAAGATGAAGTTACTAACCGTAAGAGGAACCCATTGATACCGAGTTGTTTTCTGATGACCAGGAAGGGTAGGGTACGGAAGAAGGTCGGGAACTGTCGAATCCTCCTTGGGAATTCTCGAACTGCATGTAGAACTGCGGGTAAATCGAGGGGTCGATTTGTCCATGGGAAGCCACTGCGTTCTGACCTGCTAATTAAAACCAAGACTTGTAAGATGTGTTTTGACGTACACCACAGCGGCTGAGTCTCGAATCACCAACCTTCGACAGAGAGGCGGAGACCTTGGCCAATTTACCATCATTTCCCTTAATATTAATTTAAATTTCTTCTGACCTGCCGACTGGCCGCCCATGTGAACAAACTCTGCGGCGTTGCTGTGGAAATGATCTGATTGGTTGGCGAATGGGTGGTTAGAGGCGTCATTTGGAGTCGTGTCATGACTGGAATTAGGCAACATTTGCTGCGCTTGAATCCATTGTTGCTCCGTCACATAGCTGACAATCAGCAGAAAAGTTTGAATTGAAGAGTAGAGTCAGTTAAAATCCTACATCAAAGAGTTTATCTGCATTGTTTTTTTGGTTTTCCCTTAATAAGGAATGGCTGCCATATTTTTTACAGAGAGGTGAAGCTCTCGCTTTTCGCCACTTGCGATTCAAAAACATGCAAGTGTTCAGGTAAAAAAACTAAAAATAACTGAGACATATTTCATATTTTTCAAAATCTTTGAAGTATTTCAAGAGAAGTCACGAGCGCGCCATTCTTTAACACAACTTTGATTCATAAAAGCTCATTTTACAACTCGCCACATGTGAAGGAATCATTTACAGAAAAAACTTGAATCGTATTTACTTTTTCAAATTTTTGCAATCCGATCAATGTAATAAATTCAAAAAGAGTACATTGATCGCTCCTATCATTGTTTTCAAAACAAAAACTTCAAAAAAACGTCCCTGGATTGTATTTCAACAAAAAATTTCAGAAAAATTTCACGGTACCTGATTACGTACACCATTTTACGATTACATCAGAAGTCTTTACGAGTTTAGTGAAAACTGCTTAAGTCACAAGTGTAAAGTCAGCACCCTGGCAACTAACACCGACAAAACCAGACAAACGATAGTCCGACAATTTTGAAGTTCGTTTAAAAAGGTACTGGTGGACCTTTGTCGTTCCAGACATGGACGTTATATCCTCGCCTTACCGAAAAAGTTCCATGTTCCGACTTAATTACGCTTTCTAATCGCAAACGTGAGTGATTATCGTTGACGTGATTATCGTTGACGTGATTATCGTCTTCAAAATAAATTAGGAATTTTTCTTTTCAGAAGTCATTTTCTTTTTTGACAAATCCGATAGTTTTTGACAAAACCATCCCTGAATAGACCAAGTGAACAATCTCGCCCTAAATATAAATGCAATTGAAGCTGTAAGGCTTGCATATACTCGGCTCAAACATCATAGGCTGAAAAACATTATTTTAAACCAAGTTATTTATCTCCTCCCTAAATTATTTCAGGGGGAAATTGTTCACTTGGTTCAATATGGCTACCGAAAAGGATATTTACGAGTTCAATTACAAAATTAAACTCGCATTCCTGAGAGGCATTTCAGACAATAATTTGAAAGGCGAAAACAAATATCTTAAGACAGAGGCGAAGCAGAGCTTCGCAACATTTGCGATGCAAAAAACATAGCGCTACACGATAGTGAATGGGAAAAAGAGTAAATAAAATACTGAAAAATTAAGTCAGCTAAAAATAGTAAAGTTGTAAAGGATGAAGTTCATAAATAGCCTTCCTTCAAAAGTTCTGAAAGTAGAAAAAAAAACCGAAACTGCGGTTGATTTAACGGATTTTTTTTTTCCAGTCGAATTTAGAGCTATGTTTGCTATTTCTTAGACTACTTTAGGTGTTATGATAGCACAATCTGGAACACTTATTGAATTTTTTCCCCGCAGTTGTTTTGATTTTTTTTTTGAAAAAACTGAAGTGAAAAATGACTGTTTTAGTGAAATTACAAGCTTTCACTATGTTTCTTCCTTTCTCTCATCGAATCATGCACAAATAACGATACAATTTCTTACGAAGAAAAAAGTTCTTCTTTCCTTTACTTTTTTCTTAATTATGATGACGGATCTTTCTGTGCTACTTGCTCAGCAAGCTTTTTCTCTTGATACGGTATATTTAAGTTATTAAAACTGTTTCTATTAGTTTCAAATTTAGGTTAAAGTTTCTGCAACGCAACGATCCCAACAAATTGAAAACAGTAATCACTACAATTAAACGATGTACATAAGCATAGCAAACAGCCAGTTGACAAAATGTATACAAGCTTATGGACAAGAAACGTAGAGTTTGATAGAGGAAAATATATATCAGCACAAAGATATAGTTTTTTTTAATTAAAATTAATCCAATTTGAAGAAAAAAAATGTATCAATACGTAGTTTTTCATCTTTGAAAATTAATCGCAAGCTCAAGTTTCCTCACCATTCAGACTGTGTAAGCAGACAGCTCAGATTGCTTTCATCAACATTTCTTGAAGGGAGTAAATTTCCTTACTTTACACACTGAAAATTAAACCTGCCCAACTGACATTTGCAGAAAAATAACTGAAATGATAAATGAAAAAATCTCATTTATTTCAACTGTGGAGCCTCTAGAAAAAATTAAATAACAGAAATAATTGCAGCTCTTTTGATTACACGAAGGCGAAGCGGAGCTTCGCACCACTTGCGATACAACAATCATAAAAGAGATAAGAAGTTTCAACGTTTTTCATTTTTTTACTTATACCTCGATGAAGGACACCTAGGACCCAGCTGAAACTGGACTAACGTCTTTGATAATTTTAGAACTTTTTTATACTGATTCGGGACGAAACGCGTTATTTCAAAATCTGGACTTTGCCCAAAACCTTAGTTGTTTCTCTGCTAAAATAAGAGAGTGAAAATTTTTGAGATTTTCAATTTTTTCCAAAGATATAATATTTTTTTTCTCAAAAAATAAGGAGTAGTCACTTTTGCAGGAAAAACTCGCGCAATTGCTTCTTTCCCTTGACCTTTTCATCTCAGATTTGATAAGGTAGTTTTTTTTTAAATTAAAAAAGTTTCTAAGTTGAAAAACTTTACCTTCCGCAATTCATAACTTCTTTCTGCAAGGTCGTGGCCGTTAAAATAGAGAAGATTCCCAAAGTCGGGTTTCTTGATTGAATACTTAACCCTCGAATTTGCAAAATATATTTTGAGTAAAGTAAAAAAACTTCCGAAAAACGGTCAAAGTTTCAAAACATTCACTTGTTTGCGGGCCATTACTTTTTTCGTAAACATAACTGGGCTTAGCAAATTAAAAAGGTAAGCTTCCAACAACCAGTAGTGGCGATTAAACCTATATCAGATTTGGCAGGGTAGTTACAGAGAAAAGTCCAAAAACGGGTCAAAAAATTAGATAGTTGACATTTCCGAGCATCTTGGTTTTTTTTTAGAAAAATTGGGCTTGGCAGCTTATGCAGAAGAAATTTACCTAATCTATAATTTCGATTCGACCTAAAATTACAGGTTTGGCAGCGTATTTCATGGAAACAGTAAAAAAAAAAACGGTCAACAAATCAGATAGTTGACATTTCCGAGCATCATAGTTTTTTGTTTTAGAAAAGTTGGGCATGGCAGCTTATGCAGGAGAAATTCACCTAATCTATAAGTTCGATTGGACCTAAAAATCCAGGTTTGGCAGCGTAGTTCATGAGAACAGTCAAAAAATTTCACAAAACGGTCCTAAATCAAAACTTTGACTTGTCTGAGGACCATTATTTTTTGTGTCAAAAAATTTGGGCGAAATCAGGTATGCAAAGAAGCGGCTTCCCACAAATTTTCTTTGGATTGAACCCAAAATCCCATAAATGAGGGCATTTTTTGGTAAAATTCATGAAATTAAGAAAAAGCGCTCGAAAAATTATTAAAAATGACTCTCCGAGGACGATAATTTATTTTGTAAAGTGGCGCTAACGCAGGTTTGGGAGGTTTGTTTCCGAGTAAAACAAAAAGACTCAAAAAACTGTCAAAAAATCAAAATTTCACTATTGCCAGGACATAATTTTATGTGCGAAAACAATTTGTGCGTAACCGCTTATAGAGGGGAGCTTTCCAAATCAGCACAACTCATTGACAAATAAATCTCAAATTTGGTAGGTTAGTTGTTGAATTATTGGTCGATTAGTCCCCACAAACTTTTTCGAAGGCTGTAGACAACAGGGTAAAGCAAAAAAGACCAGAGGAGTATGCAGGCACACAATGATGTAAACGGTATTTTTATATATACCCCTTTTTTGAAAATCGGTTGAAGAGTTCGAGAAAAAAAGTACTTTTTTTAAAAAGGGATAAAAGTTTCCAAAGCGTCTCAAAAAAAGTAAATTAACAAACCCAATCACATCCATTTTCATAAACCTATTTTATCAAACAGGAATTCTAGGCACCTATGCCAAGGAAGACATTTTAAATTCACATTAGCAACTGAACAAAACCTACGAAGAGGCAACAAGGCCGACAAAATTCGAGCAGACACCAGTTGAGTCGGAAAAAACTGATTTTGTTTAGAAAAACTTTTAAAAAAGTCGACCCCCCTGAAACTATCTTGTAGTAACTAGTACCCCTCCAGTCGTTGAATTTGAATTTTCATGAAATTAGGCATTTCAGCTGCTTTTGAAATTTCATGAAATTGAGCATGTCAGCGGAAGTTCAGAAGTGATTCAACTGATTTTGTTAATTTAGTTGTTAGCTCGACAAAAAAGTCTACATTCATATTTGATAACGCTTGCTAATCGCAAGCGTAACTTTGCCATTTTCTGATCGACATTTTTTGAAAACTTGGTTTGATAGTTGGTCTGTCTATTCCGCTGAGAATTCAGAATATAATTTTTCGAAAAAGCAGTCGCCCCTATAGATTTTTTTGTTTCGAGTATTAGCAGTTTTAATCTTTCCCTGGTTGAGTAATGTTTCGCGCTTTCGAAAACGAGAACGCGGTAAAAAAAGAGCATGCTATCACATGCTCTTTCGAGTTCTTTTGAAATACGAACTCATGCCCTCAAAAAGTTTGCAAGCATATAAATAAACAGCTGGTAAAGAGTCATTCAACAAGGAAACAGTGTCATTCAACTCATGATAAAAAATGTAAGTAAATTTTTCAGCTTTCGATCTTTAGAAAAAACTCATTGCCTTCAACTTTTTCAAAATAAACCATGATTGAAACATATAGTGTTTTCGAGAATCCCATTTAGAGACAAACGGATCTATACGAATTTTTCTGGGAAACTCTATTTGAATTCAAATTGTGAAAGTTGAGTTTTTCGCAACAGTTGCTCTTTTCATGTTGGAGAGCGTAGTTTTTTTCATGGTAGCATTTAATTTGAAAAGAAATCAAAACAAATCGCAAACAAAATGAGCATGAACCACAAAAAAAGGTTCTAGGCGACATTGAAACCGCTTTTAAACGTTTTACGCTTAAATTTTGATTCGAATCTGGTATATTTACGCTTTCGAAGCGAATTTAATCACCTTCCAACATTTTATTTTCATGTTTGCAACTATACTGCAAGTTAAGTAAATTTGAACAAAATTATGTCCAGTTAACCAGAACCTACGAAATTCTTCCAAAAAAAAGAAATGTCGATGACCTATCTTTTGAACTTTGTCGAATTGTACTACGCTGTTATTCTTATGGACAAACTTGCCAAGATACAGTTGGCAAAGAGTGAATAAGTAAACACAAAAAAAAACTTTTAAAGGAAACTCATCTTTTAGAAAAAACTTCAAATTTCGATTTTTAACGGAAATATATAGCCCTAAAGCTCTTTGCATTTCCTAAAAAAATTATGATTGACAGATGTCCGATAAAAATTAATTCAATTCGATCTAACTGGATCAATCGGCAATGTTTTCATTCCGCTGTAAAAATTAAAATCCACTATCGAAATCAACCAAAAACCGCTCACGTTTTTCATGACTGTTACAATTTAGCTGTTCGATACTTGAGTTTTCCTTTCTTTTACACAAAGGCGAAGCTGTACTTCGCATACACAAGCAAAAATATTACTGATAACGCTACTGGCAAAAAAACTGAATGAGTAAAACTTTGAGTCTACAAAATTTCTGAAGTGACGCAAGCTAATTATGACCCATGATCATTACCATTCAAGTTGAAAAAAAAATTACCAACTGACACGCCTCAATTTATAGAGCGGACGCATTTTAACTGGTATACGAAAAAGTTCATAAAAACAGTTTCTTTCATAAAATATATATATTTCGGGCCATTTTCGGTCCTAAGCGCAATCAGTAGGAAAAAGTTTAACTTAAAAATTATTGCAATCTAGCTACAAAAAATGGACATACCACGGGAATCAATCCTGCGACCTCTCGATTACTAGAAAACATAAAATAAATTTTTAATTCAGTTGTTCAAATGAAATGGTTTTTTGTGTAAAAAAAAAAGAAAATTTCCGGAGGAAGTTTTTTGTCGTAAAACTTTCAGGCCAGCCTTTTTTAAGCAACGGGTTCGCGCCGCAAAACTTAGGCCCGATTCCACCTCTGGCCTTCACTACGTTCATTGCTTCTTAAACTGTTTGAGAACATAAAACTTGAATTTTACAAAAGGACACATTAATCGTTTTACCTAAATTCTATTTTCACAAATAAATAAAATAATTGAATATAAAATGAGGTTTTCTTATATTTGCATTTCAAACACAAATGATATGTTTAGTTTACTTAAGCTTGCACGCAAAACAATTAATCGGCAAACACATTTTTACAAACTTAGTTAAAATGGTTTGAATTTTCCATAACTTGCAATGAAGCAATCATGCAAGTTACCATAGTTTTAATCTAGGCAAAATTTCCATCCAAACAAGAAAACTATAGATTATGTTATGGAAAACGCTGTAAGTATTTGAGCAAAACAATCATTATTGCCACACATTAGTAAGTAAAATTACTTTATTAGTTTCTAGATAAATTTTTGGAGTTTTGTTACTCCACTGAGTATACATGCTTTGCATCACTACCACAGTACAATGAAGCATAAAAGTCTGTTCACTTACTCCGCATAAAAGAACTTGATCATCAGTAACGAAAACAATAATCACAATTTTGATTATCTATTTCATTAACCAATCAGATGCGATCGTTTTCTGTTTTTCCGAGCATTCTTGAAACTGTCTGTATTTTGAACTTTTGAGCGGAATAAGTGGAAAGACGCAAGCATAGCACAATACGACATAGAAGCTTCTTTGTTTGATTATTGTTCTAAGGTGAAGAGGTGAGTTTTATTTTATTGCTTCGCTTTGATTGGATAAGCGAAGTGGTAATTGCAGAAAAAGCGCACATCACAACAGTATCATTTCGGAGCAATGTCATGCAATGAGTTGTGATAAGGAGAGACTCCATCATTCAAGCATTTCCATCAGTCTAGCTGAAACAGCATGCAGTATTTACATCCACATTGGCCATGATAAGCTTCAAATTATGATTTGAAAAACAAAGATGAATAGCAATTTAAAAAAACTAAAGAATTCAAAAAGATAAGCGGAACTCGGGATTCGAACCAAAGCTCACCTGCTTTCCAGGTAGATAATATACTAAATAGCTAACCCTTACAGATGTATCAGAAATTTGCAAAAATTTCAAGCGCTGACTTTTCTACCATGTTTCAAGATCTTAAATTGGCGAATATTAGATAAAGTATAAGAGGAAAAAACGCAACCAAACGGATGTATCTTTGACCCTTCTGACAACACTATGTTAATACATTTCGCAAAAATTTTGACAAATTACTTCACCTGGAATATTTAATCCAAAGCTGATTTAAACGCTGTTTTGCTGTTGATCTTTATGACTGCGACGCATAAACTGTTCATAACTTCCTGTAGAAGTCTCTTGATTTAGTTGCCGAATCCAAATGACTTACTAAAGGTGATTAAGTTTTTTCTTTGACTTTGAGATTTAGAAAAAGCGACATAGATTTTTCAACACTTACCGTCTAAATAGCCTTGAATATTTAGTCACATTATTCAACTTGCACCAAATCAACACAAAGACAAAAGCAGGAAGTAATAAATAAATAAATTTGAGATATTTTTCATCTGTTAAAACTTATTCATGTTCATTTGAATAGCTTAAACTAAATATTTCCTTTGACTCTTTAACAGACAATTCTCTTGACAGATTGTCCGAATGGCACAAAATTGGAAACCAATCAAAATAGTTTATAATCATTAAAAAAACCTTATGGAAGCATTATTTAAATCGTGATTGCCTTCTTAGCGTTTTAATTCGAACAAATGACAAACCTTGAATTGGTCTGGAAACTGTTCAAATTGCCGTGAGTCATTGGGGCTGCATTGGCCGACACATAACTCATCATTGGGGGTCTACCACTGCTACTGTTTGTGTTATTTACTGCACTGCGGCCTCTGTGTTTACTCAGGAAACTCTGAGAGTTGTTGTTGTTGTTGTTTATTCCCGATGATGAGGAGTGGCTGTTCCCGTGTTGGTGCTGTCCTCCCACTGCTGAATTGGCCAGACGGTTATCAACGCTTTGTCTGTGCAGCTGTATGCCCTAAAATTGAAATTTTTCTCCTAGAAACAATAAACAGCCAAAAGCAGCCCATTTAAACATTTTTTTTGGTATTCATATAATAGAAAGCATGCAACAACACATAAAAAACAATAGTTGCCCTCCTTAAAAACAAAGTTACTTGTTAATGCGGCTGAACTAAAATTTTACTTAGAGGAAGGTTTTAACACTGAACGCATTTCCACAGGAAGCAGGAAAAAATTGATAATGATTCAGGTTGGCTACGATATCTCGAAAATCACAGACACTGACGGTACTGATAATAAGAAAGAAAGAAAGAATAAATTTCTCCGGTCATTCATTACATAAATTTGGCAATTCATCGTTATAAGTAATTATTAAAATGAGACTCGGAGAGGATAGACAACGGGGCCATATGCCATATGGCACACAAACGCCTACCCTAGCTATGCATGCTTCTTTCACTATCAGGAAAAGATTTTTTTTAAACGTTTTTTTTTGAATTTGTTGAAAACTTGTAATTTCATCCATATCTCCTAAGCTACGAGCATTTGGACGGTCAAGTATTGTCATTTTAATCCGAAGCCTATATTATACCTTCGTTAGCAGGCAACCGCCGGTAAAAAGAAAAGAAAACATAAATTTAGATTTTTTTTTGAATTTTTTTTAAATCGTAAAATCGTCCATATCTCCTAAGCTACGAGCATTTGGACGGTCAAGTATTGTAATTCTAATCAGAAGCCTATATTATACCTACGTAAGCAGGCAACCGCCGGTAAAAAAGAAAAGAAATAAAAATTTTAAATTAGATTTTTTTTGAATTTTTTTTTATATCATAATCGTCCATATCTCCTAAGCTAGGAGTTTCTGTTAGGTCAACTTTTAGCGTTAGAACCTCAACCTTAAGATACACAAATTTAGCATGCAACTACGGGTTCAATACATTTTCTATTTATAATTTGAAAATTTAATCGAATTAGATTTTTTTTCTAAGTTTTTGAGTATTTTTTTTAAAAATCGTCAAATCGTCCATATCTCCTAAGCTAAGAGTTTCTGGAAGGTCAAATTTTAGCGTTAGAACCTCAACCCTAAAATACAACCCCGTCAGCATGTAACCACGTGTTCAATAAATTTTTTCTTTTTATAATTTGAATATGTAATCGATTAACTCTTCATTTTGCACTAAAAATACAGTTTTAAATGTATGATAAAATGTTACTAATTCTGTTTTCGAATATCTTTCAATATCCTCGGGGATTAACTTTTGCGCTGAGAGAAGGTTGAAAAGCTTGGTAGCAGGATATCGAACGGAAAACCGATCGATTTTTTTCTTACATATGGGTTCAGCTAATAGTTTTGTTTTCGACAGTCTCGTGGCCCTTGTTTTCTTTTCAAAGGAGAACAGATTGCTTAAAAAACTTTGAGAGAGAGACTTTGTGACAGCACGAAGCACGAACTTGAGTAGTTCGTAAACATGAATTTCAAACACCGATAAGAATTTATTCTCTAGAAAAATATCACGAGAACTATCGCTACGCTTTCGAAAATAGATGAATTTAAGAATTTTCTTTTGCAGTAGAAATAAACATTCAAGTGAACTGTAGCTACAACAACCGTATATCAAAATTCCGTATTGAATGATAGGAACCACATTACGTCTATAGTATTCAAGCAATTGGTTTCGTGGTGCATAATGTCTTAGTTTCGATAAAATCCCGCATTGTTTTCCGAGTCTCATTTTCACCGAATCGATATGACTTCGAAATGATAATTTAAAGTCAATATATAAACCTAGATATTTACAAACAAGTTTATTAATCACCTCTGAGCAATTAAGTGTGAAATTTGAATTGGAAGCACTTTTTATGTTCATTTGTATTGTCTTATCATTATTTATAATTAGCTTATTTCCATGTAACAAATGGTCAAGATGACGAAGATCATCTCAAATATCTATAATCTGGCAGCCTATAGCAGTTTTGTTGGTGTCATCTGCAAATAAGATTACTTCTGCTGTTTTACATGTCACGGGCAAATCATTAATGTATATAAGGAAAAGCAATGGTCCTAAAATCGATCCTTGAGGGACGCCGCATTTTTATTTTTTTCCAATCTGAAGAAACACCATTTACTTCAACTCGTTGTTGACGATCGTTGAGGTAGGACCTAAACCATTTTAAGCAATTGCCTCTAATGCCATATGCATCAAGTTTCGTCAGAAGTATTTCATGATCAAGAGTATCAAAAGCTTTTCTTAATCAAGGAAAAAACTATAAGCCTCCTTAAACGAGTTTTTAAGTCTTATTTTTTCAGTTAGCTCAACAACTGCTTCTATTGTACTATGTTTTGATCTGAACCCAAATTTCTTGCTATACAACAAAGCGAATTTTTCCATGTATGCGTAGATTCGATTATACATTGTTCTTTCGTATACCTTGCTCCATACAATAAGTAAAGAGATTGGCCGGTAATTATTTTCATCTAATCGGGAATTGTCTTTATGAACAGGAATTACTTTTGCTTTACGCAAAGCAGAACGAAATATGCCTTTTTCAAAAGAAAGGTTGACTAGAAACGATAGAAATGGGGAAGTAACGTTTTTAGATGCTTTCACTATTTGATTGCTAATATAGTCATCCCCGGATGTTGATTTGTTGTCTAATTGACAAATAATATCGTTGATTTCTGATGGCGTTGTTCTGTATAGAAACATTGACCAAATTAATTTAGGTACTGGAGGTGGAGATACATTTGGAATATCTGTTTTCAAGTTTTCACCAATGTTGATGAAAAAATCATTGAATCTATTTGCTACATCTTTTTCAGTTGGATTATCATTTAGTTTTTGGCATGATTCAAGAATGGGCACTTTAAAACGAGATATAGATTTTCCATTTAGCTCATTAAGTAATTTATATGTTTGTCTTGAGTCACCAATACAATTCTAAAATTTATTCCAATAAAATTTTCGTTTATTCATTTTGACCGCTTGTTCGAATTTTTTTCTTAGATCAGTAAAAATATTCATTAAAGTACTATTCTCAGTGTTTTTTTCCAGTTTTTGTGGGCTTTGTTCCTCTTTGTTCTAAGATTTTTTAACGCGTTGTAGAACCATGGTGGATGTGGTTTCTTGCTAGGGTTAATTTTCTTGATTGGCGCATATCGGTTTAACACTTTTTCAAAGATAGATTGAAAGCTGTCAAAGGCTTGCTCGGGATCTTCCATTAGTTGAATCCCATTTTCATTCGCTTCGAATGATAGTTTTAAATCTTTGAGAAAAAAACTCGGCTTTGATTTGTATTTTAGAAAATTGGTATCTCTAAAAGTGTATATAGAATCTGAAGAAATTTGTTTTACTGGCCAGATGATTAGGATCGGATAATGATGAGCAATTTCTTCATACTGCATGACTTTCGTTCTAGCATCCGATAAATTCTTATAGATAAAGTGGTCGATACATGTACATGATGTTGCTGATACGCGAGTCGGTTCTATACCAAAAATTTCGAACCCATTAGAAATGATGCTATTTATGTAGCTAGTTGAAAGCTGATTGTCCAGTAGCGTATTGATGTTAAAATCTCCACATATGAGGACCTTTTCCGATGTTGAATTATTCATTTCCAAGAAATCTTCAAGCTGATTAACGAACTGCAATTTGTTTGTTCTAGGTGGGTTGTAAACAACACCTATTTTCAACCGAAAAAAGTTTTTCTCGACCTCAGCAAAGATCGATTTTTCAAATGGTGTTTCCAGTTGCCTGAGTATCTTCACGTTTTCCTTAACTTGGATCATAACCCCTCCTCCCCTTACATTAGTGCGGTTTTTTACAAAAAAATCATAATGTCCATTAACAAGATATCCTTTAGAGTTATCATTATCATTAAGCCAAGTTTCACTTAAGCAAATTATATCTGGTGGTGACTCAATACTTAGTATAAGTGCTTCCAATTTTTCAAAAAGCGGTTTTAGTGACATGGTATTCAAATGCAGAACTGAGAAATCATTATTAGCATCAGATAAATTGGATGACACAGAATTATGGTTAGGTACCAGTTGACTGTTCGACGCGAAAAGCACCTTCTGACATTGTGCCTGGTGTTGGCAAGACATTGTAATTAAGGGCTGGGGTAGTTGGCTTTAAGGCTGAAAGTATATGAGGAACAATTGCATTTACAATTTCACTTGCAATCGATTGAGTTTCTTCCTTCTCCTCAAGGGGAGAAAGATTTATCTTTCGCTTTTTTACGGATCGTCGCATAGGATTATTCGCTTTTGCTTCGTCATTGGAAGTTGACAGTTTTGGCGTTTCTATAACATCATCGGCCCAATTTAATTGATTGGACTCTTTCGGCTTTCTGGTTTCAGTTAATGTTCCAGTTATTGCATGCAATTCGGCTTTGGTTTTCACTTTTACGGGGTTAGGATGTGAATTGCTAGGGTTATTGGCATACACAACTTGTTTGCTAATATAAGATGGGATATGATTGGCTATCGCTTCTGATCGAATTGCTGTCGCGAGGGGATAAGCATTCTTCGATAAACACTGGTTGTCCTTTATTGTTCCGGAAATTTTTCAACCATGATCTGCGCCTCCAAACAACGTCACGATCCGCATGATATATGAATTTCACAATTAAAGGCGCATTTGTTCCAGGTTTCGAAGGATGACAGGAGGCAATATTATGTCTGGGAATATTAATCGACATGATGTTACTCATAATTTGCAGGATATCGCCCATTGTGTCTGCTGTGATATCAATGTTGGAGAAAGTCAGGCATAACTTACGAGAGTACTTCTCAAGATCTACTACTCTTTCGGATACATCGTTCTGATTTTGTATGATCCTTTTCTCAAATTCCGATTGATCCGCCTTCAAGTTTTTGATCTCTTTGCTTTGCTTGACTACTATATTGACTAACCGTGTAATTACTTCAAGCAATTTTGGATCTTCCGATAGTCCTTGTATTTTCCCCAATAATTCATTTGTTTCTTCTCGTTCGCAAAGGTCAACTTGGTCAAAAATAAGATCATCATCGCAGATAGATTGATTATCATTCATTACCTCAAACTATTTAATAAGTTTATCACAACAATTAGGCTAAAAAGAGGCTAAAAATTAGGCTAAAAATAATCGCACCGAAAAAAGAGAATTCTAGGCACTGAGCTTTTTTCTTTTCTGAACACATTTTACATTACAATCAAACATTGCCAAAAGAGTCAACGAAATATAGCCAAAAGAGTCAGTGGTAAAAAAAGTCAATGAAACAGAAAAAAAGACATAACCAACAGAACATTGGAAAAGAGTCAATGAACGCAAGTAAACAGAAAAAAAATACTGACAATTTTTTTTGAAAAACCTCAACTTTCGAATTTACAAGAAAAAAAGACGGCCTTTAAGCTCTTTGAATTACTAGAACAATTTATGATAGGCATTTTTTCGATAAAATTAACCAAATTTGACAAAACTGGAAAAAAAAGGTTAAAACTTTTATTTCGCCGGCAAATCTAACAATTAAACTTCCTTTTTGGTATTAGAAGTTTGGTCTATAATAGAAGATATCTAGTTGAACACATGTTGAGCCTCTTTCTTTGAGCTTATTACCGAATATGTTGTACTGACAAAGGATGTAAAGCATATATTTAAAAATTCGCCTTAACCCATAACCATAGTGGTTTTTACTAAAATATATAAGTCGCTCATGTAGGGGAGAGCCTTCTTCCATTTCTTTCAATGGAACTCAATATCAGTTTTGGCAGGGTAGATTTCAAGAAAAGAAAAATTTCAAAAAACTCAAAATTTCGGAAAATAGACTTTTTTAAGCCCTGATTATTTTCTACGAAACAATAAGGTGCAACAGTTTATGCAGAGAAGAGCTCTACAAATTGTTCTTCAATTGAATCATTAATCTCACAATTGTCGGGGCGGTGTTTGGGAAAAAACTTTCCAAAAAAACTACCAAAACCTCAAAAACTTGGCTTTTCCTAAGTCAATCGTTTTTCTACGAAATAAAGCGTACCTTCTTCCACGGGGAAGATTTCCTCAGGATGTTGTTTCGATTGAACCTTTAATCACGGAGCTACTTATACAAGAAAACATCTCATAACCAAATTTTTCGAATAAACTCTAAATCTAAATGTCAGTAAACAGAACAAAAACACGGATTTAATTTAAAAAAAAAACATCTCAACTTTCGAATTTAAAGAAAGAAATAGATGGCTTTGAAGCTCTTATGAATTATAGAAGGCCTTATGATTAACACTTTGTTGATAAAACTAACCCAATTTGACAAAACTGGATGAATATGTAAAATGATTATTTCGCTGAGAAATTCAATAATTAAATTCCACTTTCGAAATTAGAAGTCAATCAAGTTTTTCGTGACATTCACAGTTCTTGAATAAGTGGGGCAAAAAAAATTTGTACATATCTTGATTTGGTGTCATTGAAGGTACTGATAGATCATGCCTTGAACTGACCGCACTGATAGCGTCGCCAAGCTGTGATAGGATGATGAAAGGAACCCGTAACCATTTGTCTCAAGTCAACAGTTCTAGCATGCAACTTAACATCGACTTAGACACAGCAATAACACTATTGCAGTGTAATAGTTTTGCAGATTACGTCTCAAATGGCATAATTCCAAAATGGCATAAAAATGAATTTCCCAAATGGCATAAATTTCATGCATCAGTTGCTTTGGAAAAATCGAGAACAATTTTTTCGTGAAAAATGTGAGAAAATTAGTCAAATTGTCAATTCAAATGTTGATTGACATTTTATCGTGAAAAACTTGTAGAACTTTTTATCAAAAGCAAGAAGCATAAGACAAATCTGTTGCTTAAATTTGTTTGGAAGCAATTAATTCCAAATCTTGTTCACATGCTTTCGTTCCTGACAAAATGTTAGAATTAGAAATTGATAGAAAACGTTTAAATTACAATGAAAACTTGAAATTTATGCCATTTGGGAAAAGTTTCCATTTTTATGTCATTTGGGAATTATGGCAGTTGGGAAGTTACCATTTTGCAGAGAGCAACTGTCTTCCACTCGTCATGCTTTCTTATTCGGTTGAAATCTCAAAAATGAACAAAACTCGGAGCACAAAAACACCATGTTTTAAAAAACAATTAAAATTACCAAGCCTTTCAATTTTCTTCTACGAGTAAAAATACAGCTATTGAGCCCAATTTAGGCATCTTCAAACCCGTATAGAGACAAAATGATAGTTTATTCTCTTTGATCGCCAAAAATATTGATAAAAAACATCACAGGTGCTTCATAACGTTTTGATCTACAGCTATAGAGATTAAGCAACATGCATGACATGATTAGCAAGCAGTAACTTGTGTTTTTACTACAAGCATTATCAGAGATGTACTTACGAGATTGTACCAGGCAGAGACTAGGAGTCTCTCCTCCTGGTCTCGCACAGTCTTACTCTTGTCCCGCTCCTTCTAACCAACAAAACAACACCGAATATAGAGGGGTTCACATATGAACACACTGACTTCAAGGTGATCACACAGATTTGATTTGAAGCAATAACTAATGTTTAAGATGTAGAACTATTCTGGGGACTCTGTGATGCTGAAGGGGTAGGGTGGTCCAGTTTGTGAGCGTGTAGACTATTTATTACACTAAGCCGAAGCTGCACTTCGCAAACACAAGCGAGAACACGACAAAAAGCAGCTCTAAATAAGAAAAAAAAATTAGCATAGAATTCGGCGACGTCTCGGACTCGAACCCACGACTTAGAAACTTAGTCTCACGCTCTAACCACTCTGCCACGGACACTTAGTCCATCCCAAACACTACCCACATATAAAGCCGAGAACAGATGCTAAGAAATTTCCAATGATACAGATCGTGATTATAGCAAAAAAGCACAAGTGAACACTTCTAATGAAAACTTATATTTGCGAGTTAGGTTAGAAAAAAAGAAGGCTCTTACAAAAACACTAGCTGCTCGCTTGTGTAAAAATAACTGACAAATACCTCCAGCTGTTGTATCTGTTTTTCCTTCTCCGTTAGTTGATTCTTCATCGTCTGTATCTCGGGAGTGACCCCTGCCCTGTTCCTCGGATCCAACTCGGTCATCACAGTCTTCGCCTTCTCTAAATACTTCTTATACCTATAAAAACAGATCTGTATTACAATACAACGATGCAAGGAAGTCTAACGATACACATCAAGGGGTTCTCCTTAAAGAGCTCAATATCTCTCACATTGGCCATTTCCCATACACAAAAGTCTTTAAAAAATTGCAAGAGTGTCCACTTGACTTGCCTTTCTTCCATGAGTCGCATGTCGTTTTCCTTCTTGGACAGTAAGTCCCTCACACTCTTTAGTTTGTCCTCGCTGTCCTTCAGTTTAGTCTCACTCGAGTGCAGCTGCAACTTCCTCTTCTCACTCTCGCTCTCTATCAGTCTCGTCTTGTCCCTACATTAAGAAGATGTCTGTTTGTTATTAATCAACCATCAAATACAGCCATCAAGTAAAGATGTACACAGAAGCGAAGCAAAACATCGCAAGCGACAACTTGACAACACACTTGGTACAACCTAGTCGAAAAAATACTGTTGTAAAAAGTGTTCTCGCTAGAATTCATAGCAAAAAAACCAAAGTCGTAACTAATGAAATTTCTATTGAACGAAGAACAGTGTGTGAAAAAATTTAAAAAACTGAAAGGTCGAAAAAAAAGTTTACAAGTTTTTCAGGCGCAGTTTTAAAATTGATATATGAATGTTTTCTTTTTGCGTATTTCATGACCTTGAATTCTGCTTTAAATACCAAAATTTATGGCAGTTCGTTTCTTTTTGTTGATTTGTAATTTCTGAAAATTACGGTTATTTTCCGAATGAAATGAAATGTTGTCAATCAGCCAGCTACCCGAAACCACTCCACCTCAGAACCGAAACGAGGCAGAAATAGAAAGACCTCACAAAAACAGAAAAGCTCGAATTTTTTCTATATTTTTGAATTCCAGTTATAAAAAACTAGTTCTTGAATCTTTATCAAGTGTCCCCTTACCTTAGAAAAACAATTCAGAAAATCAAAGTTAAAACAACCAACATGCAGTTGGAAAAGAGTCAATGCTTAACGAGCGCAAAGAAACAAAAAATATACTTTCAAAATAAAAAATATATTGCCTTAACGCTCTTTCAATTTTAAGAACAATTTATGATTGGCACGTTTTAGACGCAGAGTCGAAGCTGCGCTTGGCAAACAATTGCGAGAACACGACCAAAAAGCAGCTCTATCAAGTTGAATACGAAAATGTAGAAATAAGCTTCGAATTGGCAAAAACTCGGCTACAAGTAGGATTCGAATCTGCGACCTACTGCAATCAAGAGATTTTGAGTCTCACGCACGATCCCCTCAGCCACTCAAGCTTAACAACCGAGAAAAACTAGTCACGATTAAAGCAGCTATATATGCTAACAAATTTCCAATGCGATTCAGCACCAAATACAAATAGACTCAATTTTGCAATTAATAATTTGGAATATAACAAACTTCGGGCATCCACACTAATTTTGAAGGTAAAAAAACTGCAAAGCACAAAGCCATATTATGTATAAACTATGCATTTCAAAAAATTGCTAGACATATTGAGCTAGAAAGTTTCTGAAATCGAGTTTTTATTATTGTGATGTTGTTTGAAACTAAGCTTTTTTCGGTGCAATTGATGATTAAAAGTGCATCAACTGGGTTATTTATAACTATTCGAATGTTCAAGCACATGCTATCAAAAGCTGTAAAGGTGCACCACCATTATTGGGGTGCCGCACCAATATTTGCGACTTAGGTTGGAAGAAAAAGAAGGTTCGTACTAATACACTGTAATAAACCAAACCCAATTTGAGAAAACTAGATTATTAAGTAAATTTTTATTCCGCTGGGAACATTGATTTCTTAACTTCGTGACTGCGCTGTGGAAAGTACTATTCACTTGATTTTCGCCTGCCACTACTGGTAATAATTAAACCACTACTCACATGTATTCGTGCAGTTTGTGTCTGAGTTCGGTAAGCTGTTGAGATGAAGAGTCGCTGGCAGAGTTCGAGGAGTTCAACAACGTCTGCAGTTCCTCAACTCTGCTCTCAAGTTCCATCACTTTCTTGTTCGACAGTCTACATTTCACAAAACAAAACTATCACACCATCTCCAATACTCTAGATAGATATTTAGAGCAGCTTCAGCAGCTGGTAGGCACTTTTGAAAACCAAATCCTTTCAATTATTTACACAGAGGCGAAGCTGCGCTTCCCAAACACAAGCGAGGAAAAAAAAGAGCTCTAAACAGGCAAAAAAAAGTGAAGAAAGGAAAATCACACCTTCTCCACGACCGCTTGTAATTTTACTACAGTTTCTATCAAACTGCCAATGTTATGCAGCAAAAATTCGATCGAATAATAAAACTATTTAAATGTTCCGGATTTTAATATCCGACTTGTTGATTAGGAATCTCACGTCCTCGTCACAGTCGCTTGGAAATAAACTTTTGGCCAGGCTATTGATTGATCTACCTGTTCTAATATTTTAAATCAAATATTGTACTGCCACCAAAATGTGTAATTTTCAAAAATTAAAATAGACTTAACGCTAAAACCTAGTATTTCTTAATTCTCTGCTTAATTATGGAAATAACGGATTATTTAAAGAAAAAAATACTACTCGCTCTTTCAATTGAAGTCTTTATCTCAGATTTGGCTGGGTAGTTTTCGAAAAAAAAGTGAAAAATATTTCAAAAACCAATCAGGAATTCACAAAATTGACTTTTCCTAAATTCATAAATTTTTCTCTACTAAAGCATGGGAACAGCCTCTGCTTTTCACACCCTGATTGTTAGATTGTAGATTTCCACACCCCCTGATTTTTAGATTGTAGATTTCCACACCCAGATTTTATAGATTGAACCCTTAATATCAGATTTATTTAGTAGTTTTCTTAAGATTAGTGAAGAAACTTCTAAACAAAAATGTTTAAAATTTTAACAGAGGTCATATCAGCTTTTCTACAAAAAAAAAACAAGGTAAACAGATTATACGGGGAAAAAATCGATGCACCATGAAGGATTTAATGACTAATCAACCTCAGAATCAGCCGGTTAGTTTTTGAAAACTTTCCAAAAAACGGGCAAAACTTCAAAAACTGGACATTTTCTAAAGCCATATTTACTTCAAAACGTAGTGCATAGCCGCTTGTGCAGGTAACATTCACATAACTGGATTTTATTCCTTTAAGCCCTTTGTCTCCGATTTAGCAGTATAGTTTACCAAAATGTCAAAAAAATGGGCTTGTTTGAGGCCATAACTTTTTTCTACCGAATTTAGGGAATAGCCGCTTGAGAAAGGAGATTCTCATAATTTGGTATTTGGATTGAAACCTTCATCTCAGTTTCGTGCATTCATCATTTGAGAAAAAAATTCCAAACAGATAGGCCAAAACTCTACCTACTGTAACTTTCGAAGGCCGTAGAACGTGAGGTAAAATGCAAAGAGACTAGCCACAAATGCAGGCACATAGAAGGGTAGCCGGTTTTTCCATTGGTATCTTTTTTGAAAATCAGTACAGTAGTTTTTGAGAAAAATTGAAATTTCTGCGAAAAGTGCAAAAATTTTCCAAAGCGTCACAAAAAAAAACGAAAAACAGAAAATCCCATAGATTTTCATAATACATATTTTTTTAAACAGGACCTAACACTAGCCAAACATAAAGCAGCAACATATGCCATTAAAATCTTTATGCTTAAATATGATTAAATTGAAATATACCAGAAGTGGTACCAAATGAGCATTTTTATTTGCGACTTAGGTTAGAAAAAAATCTTCGTAATAATACACTTCGCTTCGCATGTGTAAACAAGTTCAACGCATTAGTTTAAGTACAGCTGAAAACCCGATATCCCTAGCTAACCTTGGCTAAAAGAAACTTTTCGTTTATTTACTTTTGTATTCCCCAAAAAATTAACAAGCGCCCTTACCATGCTCGGCTCGATTTTAAAATGAGCTGCAATGAGTTTAAATCAAGCCGATTGCTTTACAACCTTACTTGTACAAATAAAATAATCACAAAGTCATCTGCCCGACTGCGGGAATCGAACACTAGACCTCTGTATTTTCTAACTATTAACACTCAAAAAACAGTTAATCTTGTTGAGTCAATATGTTTTGCTTTGGAAACCCAACTTGTCGGTTTTACAGCGGTCCAGCTGTAAAACAGATAGGTTGATTTTCCAAAACTAATCGTTTTATCAACTCAACAAGATTAATTATTGTCTTTAGTGTTGATAGTTTAACAAACATTGAAGTCAACAAGAAGAATTGTCTTTTCAGTGTTGATACTTTGAATATATGGAGATCTACTGTTCGATTTTCCCAGTGGGAGATAGACCTGCCCCCCTCCCAGCAGACAGACCTGTTCTCGCTCTCCATGTCTGCCCTGCGCCTCTGCTCATCCTCCAGATCCACCCTCAGCAACTCCAGCTTCTCCGCCGCATCTGGGTTATCACCCACACTACGCTTCAACGTCCTGTTCTCGTGAGTTAATCTTGAACACAACGATAAAGGGTGATAAAACCAATTTTGAGCAGATGAATTAAATTCAATTCCACTCGCTCCATATATATATATATATATATATATATATATATATATATTTTAAAAATCAACCCAAAATTGGTTCAGGAGAAACATAGCTTTGACAGCATTCTCGTTTAAATATCTAAATAAAATACTGTCAGACTTATGTGCATCTCTTGTTTTGCGAAACCTATTTAGTGCATCTAATCGATGAACAGAGGTTTCAGCAATGACGTTGAAAGATAGTTAAGCCCAGCAAATTCTACCTTGAAATCTTTTCCTTGATTTGCGGTGACAGGAACTCTTCCCCAGGCAGCATTCCGTCTGTGCCTCGGGGCGAGTCCAGAGATGTGAATGAGTTTTCATGGCTTCCAGGCGACAACTGTTCCTTGTCATTTTGTTTCACATCCGACTCAGTGGTGTCGCCGTTGCGTGGTGTCAAATTTCCATGCAGAGACATTTCGTCCATCTCCTCACGCAACTGTTGCTTCTCCACTCGCAGTTTCTATCAAAAGAAAATGTACGAATCTAACGATTCTAGTTCAATAAAATTATTTAGCAATAAACCGAGAACCAAAAAAAAACATATAGAAATAAGCAGAACTTTCTGGCTTCGATTTAAGGACGCTTTTTGGCTATGATATAAATTTATCGGATAATTGCTACATTTCGTATGAAATGTTACGCAATTTTCGGTTCTTTGCTTTATCTGTTTATTACTGCAGCGGAAACTAACACTGTATCCCGTCAAGGTAAAACGAGCTTGGACTTGAGAATCTATGTAATGATCTATAACCATCAGAAACTTAGGCTGCCTATTTCATCGAATCTCAAACTTTGCATTTTTTATTCAAAGATGTTTCAATAAATGCAATTCGACTTCAACAATTGCGTAAGTTTCAAAAGGATAACTGTTGGAATAATTGAAAGAAAAACTGAATTGCATTAAACTTCGAGAACAATCTGGTATTTTACGACAACTTAAGTTATATATCTGCTCGCTCTTTCCTCACAATGCTGCCGAAATTTAGGCCTACATAATTTTTAATTGTTCAACTTAGAGGGGAAGCGTTGTTTTGCGCCATTCTTGATACGAAAATAAATTCTATTTAAAAAAAAGAGTTTGGGCAAAAATCAATTTCAGAGAGTACTATTAAGTAATCATAGTAACTAACAAGACTCCTCGTATATCAGGGCAAAGCCCTGAATGTTTCGACTGTCCCTTAATACATATGGAATAGTTTTTGGGAAATGAAAATATTGAAAGCCTACATTTTGGACAATATCAAAGTGTAAAATTTTGAGTAGAACGACATAAAATAGAGAGGAAGCTGCGCTTCGCAAACACTTGCATGAACACGACCAAAAGGCAGCTTTATCAAGTGACATCAAAAAAAGGAGAAGTAAGCCTCGAATTTGCAGAAACTCGAGGCTTAGCAAAAACTCGAATTAGCAAAAATCTGTGGCCTAGCAAAGTTGAGTCTCACGCACTAACCATTCAGCCACGGATGTTCAAAATCCCCAAAAATAAGCCACTAATAATGCAGCTACATATGCTGATAAAAAAGCATCAACTGTGTAAACTTATAACTATTCGAATGTCAAAGCACATCTTATCAATCAGCTGTAAAGGTGCAACTAAGTATCAAAGGTGCAACTAGAGGCCAGCTAAAGCTGAAAATAGCTGTTAGATGATTTTTGAAACTTTTGTGTTGATGCGGAAGGACAAGGGTAATTTCAAAAACAGACCTATAGCAAAAAAAAGTAAATACCAATTTAATGACTTCAAAATCTGTTAATTTCATCAATTATTTCAGTTTTCTTAAAAATTAAAGCAATTACAAGAACTTGTTATGTTACAAGATGCTTAAAACGTTGCTCATTAGATTTGGGTGGGTAGTTTTCGAGAGAAGTCAATAATTTTCAAAAAACGGTTAAAAAAATCGAAAAATTGACTTTTCCGAGGGCCATAACTTTTAGTGTAGAAAAAAAATTGGGCAAAACCGCTTATGCAGGAGAGCTTCCCACAACCCGTTCTACCTATTGGAGACAAAATATCAGATTTGAGGGGGGTATTTTGAGGAAAGTCAAAAAGTTTGAAAAAACGGTGAAAAAATCGTAATTTTGACTTTACTGAGAGTCATAACTTTTTGTGTGAAAAAATTACGAGCGTAACCACTAATGCAGAGGAGCTCCCCACAAACCGTCTGTTCGATTGAAACTAAAATCTCATATTTTGGAGGGTGTTTTTTGAGAAAAGTCCAAAAAAATTTAAAAAACGGTTAAAAAACCAAAAACCATCCGTTGAACCCAAACTCTCAGATTTGGACAGGTATTTTTCAAAAAAATGCAAAAATTTGGGTCAAAAATTCCCCCAACACACTTTTTCGAAGGCTGTAGAAAGTGGGGTATGGTAAAAAGAGACTAGAAGAGTATGCATGCACACAGGAGAGTATCGGATTTACCATTGGTACCACTCTTTCGAAAATCGGTGAAGCAGTTTTTGAGAGAAACGAAAATTTCTAAAAGCGTCTAAAAAAAACCAATCTCAATAACGTTGCGACTTAGGTTGGAAAAAAAAGAAAGTTAGTTTTTTTTATTAGCCCCCGGCCTGCTCAGTTCAGGACCAACCGTGGGTGAGGGGGAGCTGTCATCTATTTCGCCGCAGCCAGTCCTACCTTGAGGAGGCGGATGATACTGGGACCCCTCCAACAGTGACCGAAGAGGGATTCGAACGCATGACCCTCGTGTTGAGAGACATGTGCCTAACCCACTCGACCACGGCAATGTGTTATAAAAAGTTCGTACTATAACACATTGCTTCGCAAGTGTAAATAGGACTAATTAGCTAGCCTCAATTCAATTTGGAACGATTTTGTTGTGCGGGATAATTCGCCCCGCATAGATAATTCGCCTTACGCTATCAGCAATATGAATAATTTCTTCAAAACGCGCATAATTTAGTCCAGAATATGACCAAATTGGCAATTTTCAAATCCTCAGAACTTAGCAGAAAATAATCGGAGGTAAAATATCTTTTTAAATTTGAACTCAGTAAGTCGATATCTTCAATGGGGTATAAAAAATTTTTGCTGAAAACTGTTATTTCGACCGGCAAAAATTGACTGAATAAAAAAAGCACACCGAGCACAAACATTCCGTTTTTTCGAAAGGCGGAACAAAAAGGATTAATAATCATGTATTAGCTACTATGATATTCTGACAGCACGACGCTGATTTGTTAGCATACTTTTTCTTCATGATTTAAGTTACACAGATGCTTTAATACAATTAAGAGCGAACATAGCCAACAGACAGACAATTGAAAAGTTACAAACCTTTTCCAAAAAAATACATCACTTTGAAGCTAATTGAACTTCCAGAATATTTTATGATCGATGCTTTTTTTAAAAATTTTTATGAAGCTAACCTCATAACAAAATAAATGGGTTTTTAATCCCCTGGGAATTCTGAAAAACTAAATGCATTTTTGAAACTAGCCGTCATTCTCCTTTTTGCATGCCATTTGCACCTTTGTTATTCACTACCGTAATGTTCCTTCCATTGAACTTGAAAAGAAATCAAAAGTCAAACAGCAAAAAAAATCAGATATTATTACAGATTATTGAATGAATTTTGCCGTAACAATGATTATGGGCATTAATATCGTATAAGCCTGACAACAATTAGCTGATACCCACCTCCATTTCTGTCTCCATCATCTCCATCTTCTCTGCCTTCTTGTCCAGGTCGAAGTGGGCCCTGTCTGCCCTCTTGCTCTCATGCATCAACTGCTGCTCTAGTTTCTGCATCTGCAGTCTGTAATTCTCCACTTGCTGTCTCAGAGTGGCCAACTTCCTAGTCTCCTGATCAACAAAAAGAGCTCTTTTCCACTCCTCTCCTCTCCTCTCCTCTCCCCCCACAAATCAAAAGGTCTTATTTCATAGTTGTATCACATATTACTATGGCTAAACGCGTGATGTTTTGATGATAGGAATGAAAAAAAATTTCACAAGTTTTAGTTTGTTCACCTGTAAAATTTCATTGAACTCTGTCAACGTTGAAATAGATTTTCAAAATTAAAACTCAAATAAGGGACAATGGAAAAGCCAAAAAAGGACAAGTTTACTTGTTTGATCTCCCGACAAAAGTTTTTACCTGATTGGCAACAACTGATTGTCTGTTAAGACATTATCTTGACAATTAGTAACGGTTGTTTACGTTGTTTGTTAGTAATACACACATCGAAAGAGTTTCTAACATTTTTGTTAGTAACTTTCAAGAATTGCGGTCGACCGATATTCAGGAACATTTGAAGAGATATACAATAACCAGGAGCCAATAAACTCGAACAAACTGAAAAAAAAATTACTTTTCATGGTCTCGATCCAAGAAAACTAGGGGCCCAGATGGTGGTACGTGTTTGATATTTTTGAAGTTGTTATACTGATGCGGGACGAAATGCTAAAATAAGAGAGAAAAAAATTGAAAAATTGGAACTTTCTAAGGGGCATAACATTTCTCATACAAAAAATAAGGAGTCGCCGCTTCTGTAGAAAAAATTCTCACAACCGGTTCTTTAGATTAAACTTTTCTTCTCAATTTTGATCAGAAGTAAAAAGTTTCCAAAACGCGTTCAAAGTTTCACAACTTTGAAGGCCATAACTTTTTTCTGTTGAAAAAAAGGGCACATCCAATTATAATGTTGGACTTTGAGCAAACTGTTGTTTCGATTAAACCTATGATATCAGATAGTTATCGAAAAAAGTCCAAAAAACGGTCAACAGATCAAAAATTTAAACCTCTCTGATAATCATTGTTTTGTGTGAAAAAGTTTGCACAGACGCTGTCCAGAAAACATTCACGCAAACTATAATTTCGATTGAGTTAAAAAAACTCTGATTTGGGAGGTTAGTTCTCCAGAAAAAATTTCAAAAAACGGTCTAAAAATTTGACTATTTCGAAGGCCATAATTTTCGTGTTAGCAAAATTGGGCGTAGAAGCGTATGCAAAGGAGCTTCCCATAACCCGTTCTTTGGATTGAACCCAAAATCTCAGATAGAGGAGGGTAGTGTTCGAGACACCTCAAAATTTAAAGAACGGTCAAAATAATCAAAATATTGACGTTTCCGAGGGGGTTACTTTTTTTGTAAAACAAATTGTTAGTAGCCGCTAAAAAAGGAGATCGTCCCAATAAACGTTATTTCCATTCCAACCATAACCTCAGTTTTGGGTGCTTTTTATCGAATCGAGAAAAGCCTAAAATATATTTTTTTAAAACGGTCGAAAAATTATGAATTTGACTATTTTGAGTGCAAAAACTTTAAGTCGCTCATGCAACGGAGCTTTCTAACACCCGCTCTAATCCTTGAATCAAAAACTTAGATTTGAGAGGGTAGTTTTCGGGGGAAAAATTAAAAATATGGGTCAAATATTCCCCACTACAGACTTTTTCGACGCCGTGGTAAAGTAAAAGAGACTTGAGGAGTATGCAAACACACAAGGGAGCAGGCGGTCTTTACAACTATAACCTTGTTTAAAAAAACAGCAGAATAGTTTGAGAAAATAAAAATTTTAGCAAAAAATGAAAGAAAACATTCCAAAGCGTCTTAGAAATATAAAAACGCAACCCCATACATTTTCATAATACCTGATTTAGTCAAATAGGCATTCTGTCGAATGCCGAGCCAGACAATGGATTTTTAGATTAGCAAAAGAACTAAGCTTACGAAATGGAAACAAAGGCGACAATGTACGAGCAGACACTAGTTGAGACAAAAAAAAGGTCCGGCCGAGATTCGAACTTCGTACCATACGACGAAAAGGCAAAGGCATTCCCTCAAGGCCAAGTGCAAAGGCGTCTGGAGCTTAAATAGTTTCAATAAAAAAGCAAGTTGAAAATTTGTAAGAAAAGTTGTTTACGGGAAAAATCTAGTTACCGATTACAAGACGCTTGCTTTCGAACATCTTATATATAACGTTTTTTTTTCAAAGAATAACCCAATTAGAGAAAACTGGGCCAATCGTTAACTTTTAAAACCAGCTGAGAATTCTGAAAAATGAAGTCCTCTTTCTAAACTACAAGTCAATCAAGTTTTTTCACTCCAAATACACTTTTCATTTTTGGAGAGCGTAATTTAACTTCCATTGCATAACGTGGCTCACTAGCACTTGCGATGCAGACAGTAGGAAAAAAGTCAATAAACACAAGTAACCAGGAAAAAAACGACTTGTTTTTGGCACAGCTCAATTTTCGAATTTCCAAGAAACAAGAGATGGCCTTAGAGCGGTTTGAATTTCTCGAAAAAATATAAATTAAAAGTTTTTGCGGAATTTAATTCAATTTGAGAAAACTGGATCAATAGGTAAAACATGTATTTCGTTGAGAAATCTGATAATTAAATTCTATCTCCAAAATTAGAAGTTGATCATGAATTTCGTGCTCTTTACACTTTTGCTGTTCGATAGTGGAAACGGCCTTCCTTTTAACAAAGGAAAAGAACTCCACTTAACAGAAATGAACTGAACTTGAAGAAATCAAAAACAGCTGAAAAGTAAATTTGAACCTGAACAAATTTTAAAATTTTTCCAGAAAGAAAACATCAAGACCTATGTAAGAGAATCGACTCCTAATAAGGATATCATTGTAAACTAACAGACAGAAATTGAGACGTACGCCACAAAATTCGAAAACTGTTCAAAACTTTCACACATGTCTCAACTGATGTTCAATTTGAAAAAAAAGTCAAAAAACACTATCACCGCGATTAATTAAACATTGAAAATCATTTATCGGGGGAAAAATCAGCCGAAAAGACTATGGTGGACTACCATTTCTAGGTAAAAGACTATCATTTCTGGGTAAAATTTCAAATACAAAACATGATTCTTTGAAAGAAAAATTCCATGCTTTGGAAAGTAAGCCCTTAAAAAGTAAACAAAAAATGGTCCGACAATTATTTTTTCTTCAAGCGGAAATAAATAAACTGCCATAAAAACATCTACTGGCCGGAATGGGAACCTTGACTTTCGCCGTCCCAGGCATGGACGTTACCTCTGTCATATGTGCAGCAAAGAAGCTGTATTTCGTTCAAATATGAACCACGCAATCGACTGATTCGGTGGTTTTTAGCCTGAAAAAAAATCATCATCCCGATTTGATGACGCTTGCTAATTGCAAGCGCAACAGAATTAAAATCCAACCGCGGAAAATCAAACTTGAGCGTGAATAACTTTTCTGACTCTTTCATGAAAAAAAAACTAACCAAAAACTTCAATACCTGAAGAAGTCTGCAGTTCGCTTATTGACATTTAAGAAAACTCTAGACCCAATTGGAACCCAATCAAATTAAATTTGCATATAAATTCAGTTCAATCACTGGACTCCAAAACTCAACTTTCGGCTATGGTTTTCAGTATAATAATTTTATTTTCAAGCCAAAACTTAAAAGTATACCTTCTATGAAATTGTACGTTTACAATTTAGTTCGGCTTGGGATAATTGCAAGAAGACATGAGCTTGGCGGGTGGCATCTGCATGAGGAAACTAAACTCTGTTTGGCTACTTTTTAAAAAGGAAAAGTGATATGACTGTACCTCCTCCAGTTGGAAGTTGTTCTGCATGTATGAGAGGTTCTTCTCCTCCAGCACCTTCAGTTGTCTCTTCATGTCTCCCATCTCCTCCAGTTTCTTCTTCAGGGTATCCACTTGCGACTCCAGTTTGGCCTACATCAAATCAAACACACAAACACATCATACACTAATCAGTACACTTTCTTCCCACTTAATAGAAACAAATGAACATTTACAGCTCCAAGGTTCAGTCGCAAATATATATCAACCAAGATACTCAGAACAATTATCATGAAATTGCTTCAAGGCGCTGTGGAATGGCTTTCAAATTCAACGAGACAATAAGTAACAAGTTGTCTGTAATTACAGTCAAAACGAATTGTGAAAGAACAGCCTGTATCTGTTTAAAAGCTAGTGGTAACTTGGCAAGTTTAATTTAAATTGCAGTACGTTTATTATTTAGAGCAAGTTTATCAAATTAGCAACAACTTTTGAATGCTATTTATTAAACTAATATCGCAAAATTAATGATGCTCGCTTCATATCATCTCACTGACAACAAAAACTACATAACTCCGAAGACGTAGAAGATTTTTCAGCTTCATATACAGGTATCGTACTTGTGCTTGCCTTGCCGTCTTATATGGTCATTTAGGAAAGGGAAAATTAATTTAAAACTAACTGTTTTCGTGATTTCACTTCTCAGTTCATCCACTTCGTCTTTGTACTGTCTCGCATGTTTGGCCAATTCGGACATCTCCGACATCTAAACAGAAAACACATCATGAGAATAAAGAACCATAAATAAAAAACATTGCTAACAGACAGTTGGAAAAGAGTCAATGAATACAAACAAACAGAAAAATACTGACTTGTTTTTTTTTTAAAACTTAAATTTCGCAATTTCAATGAAAAAAAAACATAGCCTTGGAGCTCTTTGAAAATCTAAACAATTTATGATTGAGATTTTTTTGATAAAATTAACTCAGTTTGAGAAAACTGAAACAATAGGTGAAAATTTTATTTCGATGAGAAATCTGGAAATTAAATACCACTTGTGAATTTAGAAGTTACTCACACAACGTGACATTTACACTTTTGCTGTTCGATAGTGGAGTTTACCTTCCTTTGTAGTAAATTGTTTTAACAAAAAAATTGTTAGAAATCAAAAGTCAAACCGCGAAAAAGTAATTTTGAGCCTGTACAAACTTAACACTTTTTTTCCTGAAAAAAAATAAACGAAAAAAAAATCATCGCGACCTCTATAAAAGTCTGAACTACTTTCACCGCGACTCTTAAAAATGATATCAAGTTTTCCAATATTTGAGAACACTCGATTTAAGAACATGGTAAAAAAACATAATATACTGTTTTGAAGCTCAGTGCAAATAAATTTCTAAATCAGAAGTTGTTTAAAACAATACTCAGTGCTCTATAAACTCGAGGATGTCAAATATTGTGGTGATAATGAGGTCATTAAGCGACTACACTCACTTTTTCTTGCATTTCTTGAATCTCTTGCTCCTGTTCCTCACACCTCCCTCTTAGATCGTCTTTCACTAGAACAAATACCACATAAGCTGCACTCCGCATACACGAAAGGAAATAGGGCAAAAAGAGCTCAAAACATTCAAGAAAATGCGAAAATTGCTCATAATTCTACTGGGGATTTTATTATTAGCCGCCGGCCTGCTCAGTTCGAACGCATGACCCTCGCGTTGAGAGACATGTGCCTAACCCACTCGACCACGGCTGCTCGTAAACTGGGGATGAAGCTCTTGCTATTGAAATAATGCAGAAATACAGCCATGAATATTGGAGAAAGGAATCCATACAAAAACACCAATCTCCAGTTGCGCACAAAGCTCCATTTTCAGCAACAAATACCACAATCGCTAATAAGCGTTCGCTAATGTTTAAATGCAGTTCCTAGTTGTATGATGTTTTCATTTGTTGTCAGCTGTCGCGCGTGGCTACAAAAATATTGACTTCTACTCACTTGCTTCTAGCCGATAGTTTTCGTGAGTCAGTTCGTCATACTGTTCCTGTAGTTTCTTGTACTTCACACTAGAGAGTCCGGCGCTAAACATCAACAATATCATTACGACCTATAAAAGAGTCTGAACTAGGTTCATCGATTGACTCTTAAAACAGCCATTTCATAACATGACAATCAGTTCAAAAACTAACTTTAAACACAGAGGCTATGATTAAAATGAAACAGAAAGAAAATGAAACAAAAGAAGAAATTGTCAACAAAAAGTTGCAACAAAAGCCCAAACAATCCGGAAAAAAATGTCTGCATCATTAGAAACTTTAAATCATTTCTGCAGAACTAAGCCGACAAAAATAAGCAGACCAACAATAATCTAAATTAGCCAAAAATTTTCTATTTGCGAAAAAAAAACATGTTTCGATCGACTGGAATCGAAATCCCGGACTTTATCTTGGAAGAATTGCTTTAACCCCCAACAGACAGACAATAACCCGAAAAAGCACAACTAAAGTTTGCAAAAAAGAGGCCCCGGTCGAACTCGAACCGCAACCCTTTGCGGTCTCGAGCAGTTGGGTTACCTTTACTCCAGATGCGCCGGATAGTTGATTGAATTTGAATTCATAATAACCAAGAGGTAACAAAGCCGAAATTATCTGGATGGACAGAAACCTTTCACAACGAAAAAAAAAATCGAATTCTAAACTAATGGGAAACATTTATGTTTAAAATTACAACCTATGTAGAAAACAAATTCGATTGGTCCCGACTTTTAATATCCTGTAACACTTGAAACAACTACGGTGAAAAATGTTTGCAGCAAAAAGATTCTTAGATGTGGCAACTAAGCGGAAAAAACATAAGCAGACAATAGGCCGAAATTTTTTGGAATCAGAATATTTACCGTTTGAAAAAAAATAATTCCTAGTCAGATTCGAACCCAGGAGAATTCGTTACCCCCAGTCTAACTGTGCAGTAGACACAAACATTTGAAATCATTATGAACCAAGGTACCACCAGGAGTTCAGATGAGTCCTGTGAACAAAGATATTTACGGGAAAAAAGTCTAGCACACGATTGCAAAACCCTTGCTTATTGCAAGGGTAAAGAAGTCAGCAGTCAAACCGCGAAAACGTAAATTTGAGCCTAAATAAATTTTGAGACTTTTCCTGTAAAAAAAAACGAAAAAAAATCATCGCTTGTCTAGGACGAAACTTGTTAAAAGCGATTTCAGGAACGACACGTTCCTTTTTAATAACCAGAAAAAAAAACGAATTCTCTATCTTCAATGAGAACTCAGTAACTGCAACTATTCCTGACTGATATAATATGCACCAACTATATCTCATTTATAACTGTATGCCCCCATTTTTATATAACAAGTATGTCCTTTTAGCTGTAGATTTTGGAACTCAATTCTCAATTCACTCTCTAAGAGCCAGTTAGTTTTGAATTTCGAGGAAAAGGAACGACGAACTGATCAAGAACGATCAGGACCCAATTTTGAAGTTATCAAAAGCGACATCCACAAACTTTTGTCAGTTTCCACCTCATAAAAAAACACGATAACGCCATTAGTTCACAGTTATTGCAAATGTTGAGCTGGGGTTTCTTACAGACTGGGGTGCTCATCGGGTGTTGTGGGTGAGAGCGTGGATGATGTGTCATGTTTCTTCCCTCCCCCCGAGGGCATCCCTTCGGGGTGGTGTGTGCTTGCTGATGATCCACTGCGACTGGCCTTGTGGGGGACACCTGCCGCCTCCAACTGACCAATCAGAAACTCCTTCTCTTCTCCCATGTAGTCCATCTAAAATCACCAACATCATCAGTCGCTTTCGCATCATTATTGTACTCAACAGCCGCGATTTCTAATTATAACATAGCATGCATTTCTCATACTCGCTTGAGTTGAAACATACAAATTTATCACTTTACGGTTAAACTTAACGGTACTAACAGGGCTGACCTAGGATTTTCTCGAAGGGGCGCGGCAAATTTAAAAAAAAATTAATTGTCGCCCTTCTTGTTTTTAGATCTAATTTGTTTTTCCGAGATCTCCCAAAGCATTAAAAAGACCAAGTTTCGGCCAAATTTTCTGCGCCAAGGCAATATTGGAAAACAAGGCGTTTTTAGGCACTTTTTGCATCATTTTTGACCAAAAATATTTCAAAAATTGGGATCTTAAAATAGTACAAAGGCGGGACCGTTCTAGTCGGCAGGGGTCGAATCAACCTTATTGTCATCCGGCATGGATAGATAAAACTCCATATAAAACTTATTATGTATTTATACATCATTTATGTTTTGATATTATGTAACGTTAATGTGTACTGGTCGATTGACCTTGATAGCGAGGACGAGAACGGCGGTTAAAGTGAACTACGGTTCAGAAAGAGAATTAACGTTAACATTAAATAGTTGTTTTAAATTCTCTCTCTCACAAGCCCGATATTATCTATCCATACGGATTCAGGAATTAGCAATTCATACCTTGAGGACTTAGCGGTATGACATGGCGCAGCCAGCAGGATTTTCGAAGAACCCGCTAAACATAAACCCATTCTGCGAAAGAGCATCGGCCGAACACCCATTAGAGTGGACAAAATGGGCAGCAATACTGAAGATGGCAGTATTCGCGAAAGACGGCATCGAAATTCGAAATCTCCTACGAGCAAGACCACAACTAGTAGAGCCATCTGAACCAGTATACGAGGTCGAGATAACCGGCAAAACAGAAGCTCAAAGAAAAAACCGAGACGTACGTAATCAAGAAAAAAGAAGTGGGCTGGAAAAACCACGTGAAAAAAGCGCGGGAAAAAGGAGTTCTGTGTAATTCATTCAGATGAGACGAAGCGGACGCAATTGTGCGCAGCTATCTTTTCATGTGTCTCGGCGCTGAAGGACAGCGACAAATCCAACAAAAACGACCTAATTTACAACTACACACGGTAACTACACAAGAACTCATGACTGTATTGGAAGAAATATTCGTCACGACACGCATAATAGCTTTTGAGAGGTATAACTTTATCTGTCGAAAACAGAAGAAAGCAGAAAGTCAAGAACAATTTCATGCTGACCTAGTGGAACTAGCTTCAAGGGCTGACTGCGTCGATCGAGAAAGCGAGTGGGTAAGGTATATGTTTACCGCCCACATGAACAACGAAAAAATTGCTGGCACAAACACGTAGCCCGCAGGAGGCATACGAGTATGCGATACGACGAGAAAAAGGAATAGAACACAGACGTACAATGAAAATAAACCCGCTCGGAGGTCAAACATTGACTCCGAAACAAGAGCCGGTACATTACGTTAATACACGTGGCAGACAAAACCAGCAGTACAATCAAAACAATCGGCGAGGTCGGGGCGGTTTCCGCGGCCGACCGTACCCACGTGGATCACAAAACACAAGGGGTCAGCAACAACAACAACGAAACACAAATTCAAGACAATGTTATAAGTGTGGGAATCAATATGGTCCGAACCACCTACAATCATGCCCAGCAAAAGACAAAATATGCTCGAAATGCGCAAAACGCGGACACTTCGCAAAAGTTTGTCGTTCTACAAACGTAAATTACTTAGGAAACACAAATGAAGAACAGCAAGAGGAAACAGAAATAGAGAGCAAGGAAACCGACAATGACCCTGTCTCATATGCTGAGTTCACCACAAACAATGGTTGGGAGAACTACCAAATAGACAAATTCTCCGTAAGGGCGATATCGGAATCATTCGAAATAGAAAACACAAAAACACTATCGGAAGACGAGCTAAATTGACATATTGTTAAATTGAAGAAAAACATAACAAAACTATTCGCTATTGCTGACTCGGGCAGCTCGGTGTCTTTCCTAAACGAAAAAACCGCTCAACGAATACAACAAAATGATCAAACGGCAGTTTTTAAAAATATCCCACCGGAGGATACTGCCAGAAATTTAGCATGCTATAACGGCGAATCAATACATCCAAAAGGAAGACTGATAATTACAATTGAGTCGGGAGGATGGAAAATACAAACAGCTCCGTTCATCATAGCGGATAACCACAAGGCAAATCTCATAGGACGGAACCTATTACAACGCATCGGCATTAGATTGATTCAGGAAAACGAAGAGTCAAACCACGAAATTAAACAATGGGTCAAGGATAAATTTCATTAACTATGCGTACGCATAGGAAAGTCAAAACACCACGTAATGAGAACACAATTCAGTAAAGAGTTCGAACCGATACAGCGAACGGGCAGACGTATACCAATACATCTACAAGAAAGGGTCGAACAGAATTAAACAAATTGATACCAATACATCTACAAGAAAGGCTCGAAACAGAAATAAACAAACTTCAGCCTCATTGGCGGTAATGCTACAGGAACGTACCAACTCCAGACGCGATTTTACGGGCTTACGGATATGCCGGAAGAGTTTCAGAAAGCAGTGGATTTAACACTTACTAACTGTAATAATACTTACGCATATCTGGACGATATCCTAATTGTTACGAAAGGAACCATAGAGACACACCGACAAAAACTCCAAACGGGGCTAACGAAACTCGACGAGGAAAATCTCGCAATTTCCCTAGAAAAATGTAAGTTCGAATGCAAGCAAGTTGAGTGGTTAGGTTTCAACATCAACAGTGAAGGAACCAAAACAATGATAAAAAAACTGAAGCGATCGAAAAATTATCGCTTCCCAAAACTTTCAAACAACTTAAAAGTTTCATGGGCTCAATACACCACCTTTCAAGATACATACCAAATCTAGCACAAACAGCGGCAGCTCTACGGCCGTTACTAAAAAAGAAAACAAAACAGACCCATCAATTGGTTACCTGAACACAACTTAGCTGAACATTTTACAACTGGTAGCTAAAATAACACAAAATAAACATTTTGACCAACATTTAGACACGCGCATCGTCTGTGACGCATCTAACAAAGGGCTAGGAGCGGCATTAGAACAGTACTCAGCAGAAGGTTGGGTGGCTATAGCATACGCGTCACGATTTTTTAAACTCTCGAGGAGAAATATTCAGTCAACGAACTAGAACTATTAGGGGTCGTATGGGCAGTTGAACACTTCAAATACTACCTATACGGCTAACATTTTACCACCAAGCTTTAATCAGCGCTTTAAACGCAAGCGAACGATCAAAGACAAGTCAAAGCCGACTAACCCGCTAGATTGCTAGATTAATACCATTTATTTTGATATTAAGCATTTCGCCGGAAGCAAAATGGGACTAATAGATTATATGTCACGAAATCCGGTTCGATTACCAATCCCTACCAGTGAGTACGATGACGAACTTGTAGTAGCGTCAATTAATATATTCATAAACAACCTAGAAATAATTGACAACGTCATTCTAAATAAATTGCCCAATCAATACAGAGCACCATATGATCTGATCAAAAAGCGCGCGGAAAATAAAGGGTTATTGGATGCTAGTTCAAACGCTCAAGCAACAACTAAACATTCCAAACATTCCGACAGCGGTCAATCGCTACCCAAAAGCAAAATTCAGTCTAACTCAAATTCTGTTCACAAACAGTCAACTCTCGCACATTCAAAAATTTTCAACTGCGGCAAGACTTCGATCAACGCGATCAATCTTAAAACGATGAGCAGAAAAGAAACGAAAGATTTCTCAGGCGGATTCATTCCAGCAGAATTAAAAACAAACAAACCACGCGGTCGTACAGAAATTTCGCTAGACTGGCAAAACACATCCAACCGTGAAGAAAGTCTCTCTGACCCGAGGTGGTACAAGCGACCACCAATCAAAGGAAAACAAATGAACAACACAAAGTCACTGACACCATCCACTTCAACCGCGTCAGTGGCCGACACAAGGGAGCTAATACCAAGATCAAAACAGTCAAATTTCCCAAAAATCATTTTTGGAGGCAGCTCGACATCAAAAACAACTGTAGTAGAAAGAAGAGTCCGAGAACAGATAAACCGAAAACGGAAACAGCCAGGTCGACTACATCCACACAAACAGCGAACAACACAAGCTGAAACCGAAACAGCCAAGTCGACTACAGCCACCAACAGAAAACGCGGAAACTGACAACGCACTAGAAAAAGAAATGTGGGTCAGCCGCGTGGACCCCAGCGTATACCTACAAGAAGAAACAGAGGCCAGCCACAAAGAAATAATGGACGAAATAGTAGCAACAGTGGAGAAAGCCACAGAAACGGAAAAGGACACGCCGCTATTCCGTCGAAAACTCCAGAGAGTACTGGGGGTTCCTTTCATCGCCGCAATTATAAAGAAGGACCAAAACCTGCGTCCCCTAATCAATTTCGTAAAAAAGAGGGATTGGGAAGCTATCAAAGCTTCCTACGGACAGTATTGGTTTAACATTCGGAACAGGCTACATTACCGTGAGGATTGTTTACTCATAGACGAGAGAATCGTCATTACATCCCAACTGCGGCAGACAGTACTCGACAGTCTTCACTTGACACAACCGGGATCGGCAGCTATGTTGGACTTGAGTCATCATGTCTGGTTCACGCATATTCATCGATCAATTGTGCAAATGGCACAAAACTGCAAACACTTCACAGCAAGGTAAGAATTTAAAACCCATCTTAGGAAAGAATACTTCAATCCAAATGGGACCAGTAGTCGAACCTAATGAGGAATTTCAATTAGATTTCGCGGGGCCCCTTCCGGATGAATTAAATAGGGATGCATACAATCTAGTTGCGATAGATAAGTGGTCAAAGTTCCCAACAGCAAAGTTGTATCAAATACAACAGCAGACATTGCAATCAAGTTCATGCAAAGATAAATTTCTAACAACGGGGTACCAAGAAGATTAAGATGCGGTCAAGCGCAAACATTCAGAGCTGAAAAAATTTCAAATTTTTTGTCGAACAAACAATATTAAAATATTATTCGCACCAGTAGATGATCAAAGAGCTATAGGAGTTGTTGAAAGAATGATTCAGACAATTAAACGTAGGTTGGCGGCACTGAAAATAGACCAGTCAATTACACCATATAAGTTAGCTTCAGATGTCGCAGAAATAATAAAAACACTAAGTGTCGCAGAAATAATAAAAACACTAAGAATCACACCACACGGTGTCACAAAAATTTCACCTTTTGAGGCGCATATGGGCAGAAAACCAAATACCCCACTGTCGATTATAGCCACAAATAGCTCACCAAACAATCTAAACTGGGAGAGCGCAAAACATGCATGTTTAGATCGAAAGAATCTTACGAAGCCACCTCTACCAGCGGAAGTTATGCATGACCTCCAGCGATGGTCGGAGGACGAAGTACACATACAAAAGAGGGGATCACCACATAAAGCCACACGTAAATCACTACCAAGGACGCTTACAAACACGCATTCACCGACACAGCCAGAAACAGGTGCACATTCAAAACCTATAGAACTAGCTAAAAACAAACTTAACATAAGACACAAGGGAGTACAAAGAACAATAGACAAAAACATCGAAAAACGAATAGAACAAGTGGCACGGAAAACTATCCGGTTAGCAACAAAAGTCAAGAACCCAAAAACGTTTGAACAAAAACATAAGACCATAGATGGAAAAATCCTAACCTACACACCACACACTGCTTGGGTACAAACTTTTGGCAAACAACCGAGGTTACTAAGAAACAGCGGTACAGCATTTGTTCCTAACCCTTTAATATACGGACTATGCAGACCTTCTCGACTAAGCGATTATGTTGCTTATAAATCCGCACGGAGAACCGGACCATGTATACCTTTTTTAGACATAGAAAGTCCGAAGGCTCCACAACACCCAATGTTCAAGGAGGACACTAGAACTGGGCTTCCGATCAAGTTAACAGGACAGGAGAAGGCAGCACAGAGCACAAGCCGAAGCAGCCCCACAAAAAGAAAGGCGAACAATGCGACAGGAAAGAGGACTGGAGGAAAACCAGTAAGAAAACTACAAACGCCACGAGGGATGAGTCTCCAAAGGGAGATCGAACAGGAAACGAACAAAAGCCCTGAGAAGGACGATGATTCGTCGTCAACGTCGGAGGAGCTCATCTCACCGTCACCAAAACGACAAAACCAAAAGCACACCACCTGCAACCGCAACAAGAAAGTCAACTAGAAACAGACAGGCGACCCTAGCAACAGCACTAGGTAACCCCATCCCAATCAGCACAATACAGATAGCGAGTGCAACCGAGAAAAAGCAATTCGAAAACGACTCGCCACCAGAAAAAACAACGCAAGACTCCCCAAGCCTAAAATCTGATACAGGAGATGGGTTTTCTGAAAAAACCCCGGAATACAAGGCTTGTGTACAATTTATACAGGCTATTAGCCCGAAACACAAACCGACCACTACAAGCAACGTAATTGACTTAACATCCCTAACAGAGGCAGAAGACGAAACGATGGAAAACAACGACATAGTATTCGTGAACACGAAGGATATAGAAATGAAAGAACAAGAAGACAAACAGCCACAAAATGACGAAGAGCACGGAACAATGGCACGACAACATGGACAACAATACCGTGGAAACAAGAGGAGAAAAATGAAAAGACAGAACAAGCAGTCCCACAGGGACCAAAAATTCAATTAAAACTTTATCATTTTTCCCGAGGAGGGGGAATGTCATCCGGCATGGATAGATAAAACTCCATATAAAACTTATTATGTATTTATACATCATTTATGTTTTGATATTATGTAACGTTAATGTGTACTGGTCGATTGACCTTGATAGCGAGGACGAGAACGGCGGTTAAAGTGAACTACGGTTCAGAAAGATAATTAACGTTAACATTAAATAGTTGTTTTAACTTCTCTCTCTCACGAGCCCGATATTATCTATCCATACGGATTCAGGATTTAGCAATTCATACCTTGAGGACTTAGCGGTATGACACTTATATTCATGCAAGCCTTTCAGCTAAGCCATTACTTCTTATTCAGTCTAATTATGAAAACAATAAATAATCATAACACACGGATAATATGATTATTTTTTTCATTATTAGACTGAAATGAGAAATACTGGTTAAGCTGAAAGGCTTGCACAATTATAAATTTAATTGGATGCCCAAATTAGTCATAATCGCAAGCGTAACGCACGAGTAATTTTTCAAGAAAGCATGTCTATGGTTTACTAGGAAAAATAGTATAAAAAACTCAATATATTTTTGTTCCGAACATTGAAAGTGGGAAGGAACTTTGTATTCGGACGTGTTTTATTTTTTTCTTTTTCTTTTCCACGCAAAATCAGGTACCACAAATAATCATCGGACTGGGTTGAGTGATATATCATATTAAAGCTATTTCAGTCGTGATTTCAACCACATTAAAAAATTTTTCAGTGTCGAGAAAAACCGGTCTGAAATTTTTGATTTTTTGTCTCATTTAGATCGAATAAAGCCAGCGAGCAGGCATACAAGCTGAATTATGCCTAATTTGGGACCTTAAAACTTAATTTAAAGCAAATCAATTTAATTTTTGGAGTTTTTTAGCTTCATTTTGGGAACCTTTCAGCAATTTTACGTCAGATCCTTTTTATCACACCAAGCAGCAGAAAAACTTTCTAAACCGTAGTTCTCTAAAGACTATGCTCGGAACATTCTGTGCTACCGGTTATCCTTATTTCTATTTAAAATCAACTCTCGACACATGATTTGAAACTGTGCTTTTGCACTGACCTTTAACTGTATGTCATGATACTTCTGGGACAACTCTTCGTTTTCCATCGTCAACCTGTGCACCTCGTCCCACGCTTCTTTCAACTGTCTGTCTATTATATGTTGCTGTTCAGTGTCGTCTTCAAAGCCCCCATTTGAGAGAGAACGTCCCCCCGGTCCCCCCTTGGAAGAAGGCGATTTGTGGATATTGGTCGCTGACATTAGAATCTGTATGGCATTCATGACGTCTTGTTGTATGGACTGTTCAAGCGCCATGATGCCACTGATGTATTCTACAAAAGATTTTAATATATAAGCGCGCAAAAAGTCGCGAAATTTTTTTCTATCGTGTGGAAAAACCGACTACTCTTATTAATTTTTTAAATATAAGATTACAGACTATTATTTTTGAACTAATATGGTACTAACCTTCTTTTTGGTCGCAGTTAATAGCACAGCCCAGCACCAGCCGCAGTAGCTTCGAGGTCTCTTCGCCGTCGCAATCGGCAGCTGAAGTCAAAACAGAATCACAGCAAATCATGAGCAACTTCAAACACTTTTAGTTTAAGAATTATAACAAACTTTTTGGTCCCCCATTTTTTGTTCTGATCTAAAAAAAAACGGATGAAAAAAGGCTTTAATATGATACAATGATCGACAACATACGAGCTTGGTTTGAAGTTACTGACATCGCGTGGAAAAATACATTAGGTCATAGGTCGTTCCCTCGTTCATAAACCTCAAGTACCCCCATACTTGAATAGGAGGCAAAGAGGATGGAAAAACCAACTTCCAAAAAAAAACAGAATTATCGGGTAACTCAAATAGAAACAAACTCAAATTAGCATGAAATTTTCAAGATATGGCAATGATTAATTGGTATGTATATGTAGTGGATTGAAGGTGATGTGACTAAACTCTTCGCCACTCGGCTGACTCGAAAGGTTGGTGTCTATTTCGAACTTGACTTATGATCGTGGCATGATGAAAATTTTTCCACAGCCCAGAAAACCGAAAACATGGATGCATTAACCAAGAGCTACAAGAGCGATTCTCCCTGAAGAGCTATATGGTGGTCGTTTAGCGCGTGGAAAAACGTCAAGAGATAAACATAGCCAACTGACAGTTAGAAAAGAGTAATAAATACAAGTAAACAGAAAAAAAAACACTTTGTTGTAACAATCTAAACTTTCGAACTTCAAAGAAAAAAATAGATGCCCTTTAAGCTCTTTGAATTTCTAGAACGATTTATGATTTGGGCTTTTTTGATAACATTAACCCAACTTGAGAAAACTGGGGATCACTGGGTAAATTTTTATTCCGCCGGAAATCTAAAAATTAAATTCCATTTTTTAAACTAGAAATCGTTCACGCCTTTTTGCGCCATTTCCACGTTCGTATTTGGAGAGTGCTATTCACGTCACTTTCAGCAGATGGAATTCAAAAGTGCATATATACATAAGTGCATTTATAAGTGCATCAATTGGTATGAATGCACATCTGAGCTATCAGAGACTTTTCCTGAAAATAAAATAAAACAAAATCAGCAAGACCTACATATGAGTGTTCACTGCGTTCATTACTTTTAATAATAGTGATCAACTAACCAATTCTGGTCTCATCTGGAAGGAGTTGGTCATCTAGTTCCTGGAATAGCACCTCCTGGTAGAATGACGTCACAAACTGCACCACCTTTTTCAGGTTGTTCGCTTTCAGCCTGTAGTCGACCAGGTCTTCTCGTTTAATTTTGGCCAAGAACTCCGAGTCGAAGTGGAAAGGTGCTCTGAACAACAACAAAAGCAATTATTTATACCCTAATAAGATATATATGTGGAAAGGTGCTCTGAACAACAACAACAAAAACAATTATTTATACCCTAATATACGGCTATATAAGTTTCAATGCATTGCTACTAATTTTAAAGTTACAAAAAAAACAAGATTAAATTCTGTTCGTGAAAGCGATCCAAGTGTCTCTGACGCTTTCTTTAGATGAAAAATTTTGACGGTGCATGAGTCGTTCGTCAACGGGTTGTTAACAATATTTTCAAGGTCAAAATCAGGATATCACTCAGAACATTTTTTGAATGACATCTTGTTTTTATGGCCTCGTCTGCTTCCGCGGTAGCGGGTTTCCTTCTAATCAGGTCAAACATCGCCGATAGAGATTAAGGTTATTTCGTTCTATTATCTTCCATGGTCCAGTGTTGTTCGCCCTCGACGGGGTATTTAGGGCGTATCATAGACGTGGGTTAACAACTTCGTTTTGACACTGGACTTCGTTTGAATGGTTCTCATGCTTTGTTGGGCTGCTGTGAGATCAGCATCGTGCGTCATGCTATATGATTCTTTCAGGGTGTTAAGCTCTCCCACTAGATGAGTTCAGCTTCAAAGAGTTCAGCTTCACGAAATGGATCAGGCCGAGAGACTGAGGAAAAGTAAATCTCTAGGTCCGCTTCGACAGTTAAATAAGAATTATACATCATGTGGGGCCTGACTAGATTCCACAAACAAAAGGAAGTTAAGGGTCTAACCAATTCCGACAGTTATTCGGGGGAACAAATTTCGGTAGATCAGAGCAGAGCAAATTTGCACCTGGCATCACAATCAAGCCTGTTTTCAGGTCGAATTGAGTTGAGAACTTTATTAGGATGATCCTCAACTTCCGAATTCTATTAAAATATAAATGACCTTGCAGATCTTTTACTTTGAAAAAAAACTTATCACTGAAACTTTTGAACATAACCAACTGACAGTTGGAAAAAAGTAATGAATGCAATATAACTGAAAAAAACTACTTGTTTTTCAAAAATCTTCACTTGAAAAAAATATATGGCTTTAAAGCACTTTGAATTTGTAAAACAATTTATGATGGACACTTTTTGTTAAAATTAACCCAATTTGAGAAAACTGGATCAATAGGTAAAACTTTTATTTCGCTGGGAAATCAAATAATTCATTTCCATTTTCGAAATTAGAAATCGATCACGTTTTTCGTGACCTTAACAATTTTGCTGTTCGATGGTGTTTGTCTTCTTTTTAACAAAGGAAATGAACTGCACTACAAAAAAATCAGAAGTCAAACCGCGGAAAAATCAAATTCGAGCCTGAACAATATTGAGCTATTAATTAAGGAAACTTGCTTATAAGTTTTCAAGAACTGATGTAAACTATCGTTAATTATATGCTAAAGCTATAGAGAGAAGAGAGACATTGAAATGTGACTAACATCTGATGAAGGCAGTCTGCGAGAATGATTCCGTCCGACAGCACCGAGGGATTGTTGTCACATTTGCACAGCGTCTCCTCCACACTCTCAACGCCAAGGGTAGACAGCTGAAACACACGCTATGAAAGGGGTTTTCCTAACAAAAACCGGTCTTACTTAATGCCGTAGCCGGTCCTACCCAGAGGAGGCGGATGACACTGGGACCCCTCCAATCGTGAGCGAAGTGGGAGAGGGGTGTGTGCCTTACTCACTCGGGCACGGCTGCTCAGACAGGGGGCTATTCTCATACGAGAAAACTCTTAACCAATCAAGGCCCTCTAAACTGTCCCGACTGACTAATTGGCATCGAATTTATGAATATTGAACATTGATTGGCTGGCAGAAATTTCGCGCGTAAGGGATTTCTCTGTCATGAGAATCAAAAGAGAAGCAGATTACTAGTTAAGTTACTTACTTTCTTCGACAACACAATTAATTACGTCGTGTCGTTTTTTCTGAGGAACCCAAGACCAAAATTTCTACATCACAAATATAGCCAACAGAAAATTGGAGGCTAATTAGCGAACAGAAAATATAACCAACAAAAAAGGCTTATTACAAAACAAACAGAAACACAAAGAGCCTTATTTGTAATTACATTTTTTCTTCAAAACTGGATCGGGACTATAACTCGCATGGGAAAGAGTCAAAGAAATGAATTGAAACATAGTAAAATGAAAAATTCTGAATCAGTAGGTAATTTTTTGTTTTCCTTAGAAATTTAAGAAGTTAAATCCACTTTTAAAACAAAGTCACTCTCGATTTTGGCGTTATTTTCATATTTAATATTGAAGAACGTAACTTATATTACTTTTAGGACTGATTTCGGGGAGGATGACTCCCCTCCCACCCGCTCCGGGGGACACGATCCATTGATCAAACCTTTGCTACTTATTCAGTCCCTCCATTTCGGCCGACCGGTCCTCTCATCCGACCTTCTCAGCAAAATTCAAGGTCAACTATAAAATCCAACTTTTAGTAGATATTGAAGAGAACTTGCAAAAAAATATCATTCAAACAACCAATACTAGTCAAATTACCAAAATGAACTAATTTTAACCGAAGACTTTCTTGAAAAAAAAAACAATGACCAATGGGAAAATTGACTCCATTCATCAACACAGAGCCTTTTATAGCCAGCCATATATGGTTTCAAAAATCATTCAAATTAAAATCATTCAATTTTCAATTTATTGCTATTTAAAATACTCCGGGATCGCGGAATCGTCTGAAAAGTGTTGTTCTTGAAAAGTTTCTTTATACCGTTTTCTTTTAGACTTCTGAACTTAGAACAAATGATAAACACAAGAGAAAACAGCTTTGCCGCACTTGAAACATTTCTCAAAAAACATAGCAAGCAGACAGTTGGAAAAGTTACAATGACCTCAATAATCACAATAAAACGACTGGAACACTTTCAAAAATTTAATATGAGCTCTGACTACTTAAAAACGAGTCTAAGTTCGGAAAGTGGCCATGAGCTCAAGAAAAGCGATAAAAAATGAACATTTTTCAACCTTCAATTTTGAAGAAAACGTTTCACCACTTTGAAACCCTTTTAATTTCACGAAGAGAAAAACAGTTTGATTAAAAAATCCAACAATTTGAGAAAAATGTGTCAACATAATTCTTTTTATTCCGCTGGGAAACTAAAACTGCAACCCAGTTTCTAAACTTAAGTCATTCGCCTTTTCTCTCCATTTGTTTTTGAGAGCGCAATTTGCACATGAATTTTTAGGGAAAGAATTTGATTTGAATTTCAAAAAATCATAAGCCATACCGAGAACATCAAGTTTGAACGACTTTTCAGATAAAAAGGGGGAAAATGCACACGACCTAAATCAAAGTCTTTCTTTTGTTCATTGACAGTTTACTAGGACCAATAGCACACAACAAGTATCAAATCATTCAAGCACATTTCGAACAAATTAAACAATTTACTTTCATTAAATTAGTACTCAGTTCTACAGATCAGATTGATATTTAATGCCAGAAACTAAGTCGACTGAAAAAAAAACAAAAACAAAAACCAACATAACTATTACAAAACATTGGTCCTAAACGCAAAATTTAGTCAACGAGCCAATAAAACGTTATCCGAAATAATTGAGGCAAATGAAGCTTTTATCCAAAAAAAAAGGAAATTAAAAACAACCAGATTCAGTGAACTTACAAATTACAAGAATAAATTACTTCAATTTTCAATAAAAACGAAAATTGCTCACATCACAAAAAAAACACCCAGGTGGCAACTAAGCCGACAAAACAGATGCAGCAAACAATAGACCGATAATTTTTTGTTGAACCCAGGACCTTTTTCGTACCAGTCGTAGTCGTTACCTCAAGACTTATGCTGTTACCTCAAGACCTAGTAAACAAAAGGGAAAATGAAAAGAATTTCGGAAAAAAGCCGCCGCACACAACCAGCAGTATTATTTAATACTGCTGGTTGTGTGCTGCGGCTTTTTTCCGAAATTCTTTTCATAAGCTTTTAGTATTTACTGGGATTTAATTCAATTCTTCGTTTGCTCTTATTTAAAGATCTGCTGTTCTTTTCAAAAAACTCAAATGGACTGTGATTGTACAGCAAAAAAACTGTAGACTCCTAAAAACTTGAAGAGGAAGGAAACTGCTAGTGTTCTATACAGGGGCGGATTTAGGGGGTGCGGACGCCCCCCCTCAAGGATTCGACCCCCTGCCGACCCAAAGGGTCCCCCTTTTGATACTTTTTCAGAAATCCATTTTTGGCCGACCGACCCTAAAATTTTTCAAAAGGCGCCTTTGGCGCCAATATATACTAACTTTGAGGGGGAGCGCGCGCCAAAAAAACGCGATTTTTTTGTCAACATTTTTCAAAAAGTGCCCAAAAACGGCTTTTTGACTATTTTGTCAAAAATTAGCCTGCGGCGCAGAAAATTTTGCCAAAATAGGGGCAAAACAGTGCTTTGAGAGAGCTCGAAAAATCAATTTGGTCGACCCAAAAAAAAGGGCGTCAAAATTTTGGAAAACTTTTTGAAAATCCGCCCCCCTCTCTCGAGAAAATCCTAGATCCGCCCCTGGTTCTATAATAGATTCGTATCAAAAGCAAGAAAACCGTGACTAAAGAAAAAATTGAAAAAAAATATATTTATATTTTCAAATCGATATTTAAAACTATTAACGTTTTGAGTGAGCTTTACTCGTTTGCAATATGATAATAGCGTTTGCCTTCTTTTCAACAAAGGAATTGAACTGAACTTAAAACAAATTAAAAGTTGAACCGCGAAAAATCAAATTTGAGCGTAAACAAAACTTGGACTTTCCTGGAAAAATCAGTACCTATATAATTGAAGCTAACTTCGTTCTTTTGCATTTGAAAACTCACTTTTCATTTTAGATCATACCTTGAATTCAGCAAATAAGTATGAACAAATTACAAACTTAATGAAACATCAAACACCTAAATAACTGGAAAGTAGCTCAGCTCAACTTTGCTTCATTAACATTAGCAGCATCTCACAACTATACTCAGATTTTAAATAAAACATTTAGTTTTCACCGACGCCCCAACGGACAAGCTGTTCTAAACCAACACCGAGAACAAAATGCTCTTACCCATTATAGCCCCCCCCCCACTCTCTCTCTCTATAATAGTAAAAACGAAGCAGCGGTACATATTTTTACTATGCTGAGGGTGTTGCTATAATTGTCAAGAGCCGAACAAAAATCCACGGGCACCAAATCAGATCTTGTCAGCAAAAGCTCATGAGTCACAAATGAAAAATTTCATCATTTTCTCTCAACCAAAACATGGTAAGGCAAATTATTTCAAAAGTGACGCTGAAATTTAATGGCTATTACATGTGCCTATATTCAAAGAAATATTTGCATTGGATTGATTTGACTTACCCATTTTACCAGACTGTCAACTTCCCCCATTTCTGTCAGATTGGATAGCAGCTATTTTCGTCTCAGACGCAATTGCAGCGTTATAAGTAACTATTCATATCTTAGTAAAATATAAATATGTACATTTAAAATCTGAAACACATTTCAATTTGAAAACCTATTTTTTCTATCATGCTACTCTCAAAACACTTCTTCTTTTGAAAACCTTTCACAACATAACACAACTATTTTAATATCTATCTCATAAACATCATTCAGTGTACACATAGGAGGTCTCATCAAGCTCAATTTAGGACTCAATTCTCTGCTTTGCTTTCCCATCTACAAATTAATGACTCTACTGAGCTTCTGGATCTTGTTCAACAAGTGATCCCCCTGTTTGATCAGCTGTTGATACTGGTAGTTCTTGCTGTCCGGTCTTGTCGTCTCAACAATGCCACGAACTTTATTGATTTTACATGGCAGCCGATTTGCCGCAATGAACCTCGCCAGTTCTTTATCGATGAAAGGCACCGAAACATTGAACGCGTCTGCGATGTACTGCAACGTCACCGATCTGTACGATTGCAGAATCTGCGAATAGGCAATGATTCTTACCTCTTTGATGTAGTACCTGTAATGCTTGTACAGATATCTATCCAGCTTCATAAACGATTCCACATCAAACAAACTCTCGAAGAAAGAAGCATAGTCGCTCTCATACAGTGATGTCACATACTGTTTGGTATCTGGGAGGCTGCAGTTAAGACGTTGTTGGATTTCGTCATTGTCGATTACTTTAGACTTGATTTCGACTCTGGGAAGTGTAACCATAGCCATGTACACAGTATATCTCACAAACTCATCGTATGACATAATCTCGGTCGAGGTGAAAGTGCTCACCGCATCAAGGAACAGATCAATTGCGCTTTCGAAATTTCTATTGTACATGTGGAAAACCCCTTCGTAGACCTTCAGTCTGTTTCTTCTATCCCAGTCTCCGCCTTTTTCGACCAGTCCTTTTGCTTTATCCAGATTCCTTTCAACCAGATCCGTATCCATGTAAAACAGTCCTAGTCTAATACAGTAAAATACAACATCTAGCTTTTGTCCGAGCGCCAGTGACTTGTCGAGAATAGTTCGAAACAGACTCAGGCAGGCATCTTTATCACCAATTTTGCATAGGTATTCCCCTTTGGCCATGTATGCATCGCGGATATCCGATTCTCCTAAATTGGCTTCCGTGTCTGAAATTTTCTTATCCAGGATTTCTAGCTCAGCTTTATTTTTGGCCTCCAATTTTTCCACCAAGGTTGCATCTTCTTTCCAGTTGAGCTCTTTGCAAGTCAACTGGTAAAAAGGAAGCATGTCATCTTCTTCAATCAGTTTCAAAATATCTGCTTTCAGGTGCTCAAGTTCCTGGGGGTTCTGTTGCACCCTGAACTTCAGTTCAGCAACTTGCAAGTTGGGTATTTTCGGCAGTCCTTGTTCGCCAGCCATTTTCTGAAAATGATTCCAGTCTTAGCAACTAAATCCTTAACTTTTATGCCGCCTGTCACAATTTGCTGAGTTTGGAGCGCAAAACACTCATTTTGAAGTTGTGATATAATCTTAAACTTATAATTCATACAACAATAATGATGAAATTGAGAAGATAAGCAAAACAAAAAGAATAGATTTTGAAAATTTCATTTGAAGTATAATTTACAAATTCTTCATACCTTAAGTGGAACTATTTTTTTTTAGCCTTTTAGCTATTTGACAAGTTTCCAGTTTGCAGTATTCGAAATTTGGTGCAATCAACAATTCTAGAAGATTATTGCCACTTATAACGTTAGTGAATTACTAGGAATACAGTATCAAAAATTATAACTTCATAAACGCCTCATACAAAAGAGAGCTTCGTATTGTTTTTTCCTGTTCGAATACAACCAACGCGTCCTTCAGGTTCACAACCCTTCTCGGGGTCCAAGAGGAGTTCATACCCCTGTTAGTTGGATTTCTATGATCACGTAAAGAACTCGGTTGTTCTTGGTTATCGAGTGCCATTCGCTTACGCGGCGGAACTCCAACATCATCTAAGGCGTGAATCGCGGCGGCATTTGTTTGTGACGCTGTCAACTTTTCCGTACTCGCCATTTCCATTTCTCTCACTTTTCTTTTAGCTTTCTGCTGTTCGTCCGGATCTTCATTCTTGGAACGACTTTTAGCCGTTTTGACAAGATTTTCCCTCTCAGCTTCTTTCTTTTTTTGTAATTCTGCTATTTCGATTTCCTGGAAAAACTTCAGTTGTTTTTTCACGTCATTGCCAACTTCATACCTAGACTCCTGTCGTAGAACTTCACTGCGATGCTGAGCTGCTGTTCCAAGTTTTTCCACCAGAGTTTTGAGGTATCGTTGACACGACAGTGCGATCAAATCCGCAACTTTAGGCGAAACCGGCTCTTCGAATTGGTAGTTGGAGGCCATGTTTCTAATTTTCGATGATAAGGCGCTAGTCGATGTGATAAAACAGGGTCTAGAAGGTGCTCTAGGAAGCTGATTCAACGGAACGAGGTTGTCTTCTGTCAGAAAATTTGCTTCTTCATTCAAATTTATGCCTGTCTGTGAGGTGACGTCGTTGATATCTTCGACAATTCCATCGTCTTCCCTTGCAACTACATTGTGATTATTTACATTAGGAGGTCGCGGGCTTTGATTTCTGGGTACTGATATAATTTTCTGCTGCACGTGTCTTCTCAAATCACAATTAGCAGGCGGAGGCAAAATAACGGGTGATGCATGCTGGCCATTGGGGGCAGGACTCCGGTAGAAACCTGGCCCCGGCGATGGAGAGTCATGTTGACTTAGTCTGGATTGCACATTCAGTTGGAGATTAGAATGGCCTGATGATATAGCTTGCGACGTAGTTGAATTACTCACTTTGATTGTTTGTGGCAACATGAAGTTTGAGTTGGAGGCGGACGTTGAGGTCTGGCTGGTTTGCAATGTGCGTACACCGTCGCCCGGCAACGGCCCAGAGTAACCGCTTGGTAAATTTGACATCAGATCATTTCTGTTAGAACCAGAGGGATGTGGAGCATTTACCCGAGTGGATCCATTGACAGGACGCGGGAACTTGCGCAAACAAGGCAAACTTTTTTGTAGAAAAGGTACGAGACCTGGTTGTGGTCTTGAACCAATGACTGTAGAACTTATTAGTGCCCCAAACTTATCGGGCTGCAGTTCATCTTTGATCAGCTGGTTAACCAGATTTCTAACCCGGGTGCCTACCTCAGGACCTTTGTCGTCAGCGAGCTGGACCAGAGTATCCAAAAAGTTCTGACATTTTGTGGCTAAATCTTGCGGATTGACAGTCGGCGTGGAAACAGCACCACGTATAACAGGCCCGGACGGTCTGATAAATCTGGTTCCATGATTTTGGATATATTGAATTCTTCCATTTTGAGGGTTGTTCACATTGTGCGAGGCCATTCTAGCGAAACTTAACTTGCTGTTTTTAGAAGCTCATGATTATCGCTGAAAATTAAACTACTGCTGATTTGTTGTAATCAGTTTTCCTACTCACCTCATTAAAAAATCAGGGGTTGTCAAAAACTATTTCCATCCATTCGAAGTGCAATAATTCAATTAAGTCGATGGATTGGTAGAAAATTAGACTTTGCAGTCATTGATTGCCAACATCGATTAATTCATTAATGCAAATTACAACGCTAGGAGAGCGTGCATTTTTATCAACTCTAGCTGCAGAAAAGAACCTATAAACCAAAAGTTTGATGTTGCCTTGCCTGGATTGGTTGACCGAAAAAAAAACCTGCAACAGATTTCGTCCAAGACGAAAACTGATAAATTTGATATTATTTATATCATCGAGCAGATTTTGCCCTTTTTCATTAAAATTTCTCTAACAGTTCAGTTGATCCCGATAGTCAGCACGGAATCTTCTCAAATAGAAGACCAAAAAGAGCATTGATTTAAACAAGGATAGCCGGTTGCCGATGAGGCATGATCGACATTACGAAATTTCTTCAACAAATGAAAACTGAAATCAAAACAAAAAAAATTAAAAATTTAAGAATACTTTTCTAACTTTTCGTGCAACAATTTATAATTATTTCAAAAATCTTTGCGAATTGAGCGCTAAAGGAAACATCCAAAGCAAGTCGATAAGCGCCAAAACCAGTCACTAAGGCTTAGTTGCATTTTCTTGTTGAGGTGAAAAAAAAATTTTTTCGCAGTGAAGCAGTTGCTTACCAAAAATTATTTGATGTGTGAGATTATTAATTCTATAATTGACCGTAGTTAATTTACTGCCTTCGCAAAAAATTTCGTCACAAACGTACGATAATGATATGAATAAGTCGCATATTTCAACTCAAATGTTTTCAATTCCGATTCAATTCCAATTAACTTTTTCTAAGGAGTGCGGCGGATAGCTTCAGTTTGGATCTGAAAAACGTACGTTCTGCGGCCCAGTACTTTAAGTAAAGCCGCATTAACTAGTGACAGTAAACTGCATAACCTAGGTGGGATGAAATTAGCTATTAAAGCATGGCAACAAAAATTATTGTTGGCAGTTGTTGTGCAATTGTGTGAATCGTTTTTCAGGGTGATCAGAAGGTCAAAAGTATCATAGTAACCGAGATTACAGTCAGGTTTGTTTTGTTTATTGCTTCGAAATATGTTTTGTTTTGTTGATTGCTTGTTTTCTGATGTTGTGTTTTGTTTGATGTAACCAATGAATTTTAACCAACTTTATTATTTACACTTTGCTATACTGATGCCTCGGCTTTTATTGTATAGTAATTCAGGTGTTCTTTCTTCTTCTTTTTCTAGGAGTCCCTTCATCACGTATTCCAGTCAAAATCCTTGGAATTTTCTAGATATTGAAGTGATAATGATAAAAAAAAAGATGACAAGTGTTTGTCCTTTTCAATTAAAATCGATACGGGTTACGTTTCTTCAATAAGAACACGCAAATCGACACGGGAAAATATAATATTACAAGTGTTACAAATAATAAATTTGGTCGAAAGTTATTTTGTCATTTATTGTCCCGACTACGCAAGCGGCGTTCGCAATCTGTATTGCCAGGGAAATTCTCTGTTTTAAAAAGCTGCCGGCTCTGGGTTCCTCAGTGCATATGCTTATTGAAGAAATTTTTGCTAAAAAGTAAATTTCAAACGTTTTCGCAACTATGTGCATCGTCAGGATTTTTACAATAAACTACTCTAAATGACGATAAAACATCAATTTACAAATGTTATTTACAATAAATCACATACAATTTGGTTCTAAACCATCATGATAAAAAATTAGCCAATCACAGTTGACCTCTAAATTACTATTAAGATTAAAATACTTTTAACCTATAAAATTAATTAAACATTTTAAAATTAATTTGTCTGGAAGTTTCTGAGTCATAATTTCGATTTAGACATGTACGTTTTGAATAAAAAACCAAAAATATTTTGGGACTAAATTTTCAGTGTTAACTCCCTGCTCCTAAACTCATCGCGCGTGTTCAAGCCCCTTTTCTCTTTCCTGATATGTATTGCCTCTAGTGTTAGCAATTTTGTTTGGTTGTTTGACCTATCTATAATTTCCCAACTAAGATCTGCGCTATTTCCCTCAAGTTGGCATTGCTGAAGGTGGAGGCCTACCGGTGAGTCTGCTTTCCTATGTTCCTCAATTCTAGTGGTCAAATGTCGAACAGTTTGTCCGACATAGGTGAAAGTGCATCCACTACATGACAGTTTATAAACCACTCTTGACTTGAGGTCATTAGAAAATGCTGACTTCAGTGATGGTAAACATGATTGTAGTTTTCTTGTGGTGAAAACCACTTGAACGTTCGTTAATTTTCGTAACCTGTTAGCAAAATATTGGCTCTGGTTACCTCTATATTGCACCATCAGCATTGGGGGCTTTTCATCCTTTGGTGATTGAACTGACAAACCCCTGTCACTATCCAGGGGCTTGCCTTTACCCTCGATGATCTTGCACAAGGCGTCTGAAGCCACCTTTGCGGACCAATTTTCAGGGTACTGATTTGTCAGCCATTGCGCCCTATTAGTTTCCATAGCCTTATCAAATTGCTCCCAGCTAGATGTACTCCTAAAAACCCTGTGTACAGTGCCTTGGATAACACTACGCTTATACTGAGTTGGGGCGCAGCTTCTATAGTTCAGTATAGTCCCTGTATCTGTTGGTTTTTGATACCAACTGCAAGTTACACGCCTATCCTGCGATATATTTATGTTCAAATCCAGGAACGGCAAATTCCCCTCCGAATTAGTTTTCTCTAGAGTGAACTGCAAATTTGGATGAAGAGAATTGGCGGCATCGAGAAGACAACTCGGCTCCCCTCTGACTGTTCTAACAATGTCATCCACATACCTGAGGAACAATTTCACCTGGGGAGTATCCTTCTCCTTGTTCTTAGCTCGGCAGCATCTTTCACAGTACCAGACTATCTCGGTTATTGATGCGTATACGTCATCGGATATTTTTCCGCATTTTAGATGATACCAGTTTCGGCAACTCTCGCATTCAACCCCCTTTGATCTATATGTGACTTTCCTGCTGCAACATGGGCACAAGCCGTTTTTGTCATTAATTTGCTGTACCCCCGTTCCCACCGGTATTTGTTGTCGTAGAGCAAATTCGTATTCTTTCAGCCATAAGTTTGCCAGAATTACAGCGAGGGACGCTCCCATTGCTAAACCATCAACTTGTACATACCATGAATCATTACACTTGAAATATACTTTGCTGACCGCCATATTCAAAAGCCTTTTCATGGTTGCTCTTTGAATTTCAGGAGGAGACTCCTGGCTGTACAGCTTCTGTAAAGCAATTTCAATTGCCTCCTTCAGGGGAACGTTGGTGTACAAACTTTTCACATCAAGAGATATTATGGTTTCATCCGGATCTAGAGCAATGTTTTCTATTTTTTCTCTAGCCTCTTTAGTATTGGTTTCTATATTTGCTCCATCGATGTTGTCAAAAAACTTCGCAAGCATTTTGTTAAGATTCTCATACGAGCTGCCGGGAAGTGATAGTACAGGTCGTAGGGGTGTCTCATCCTTGTGTACCTTAGCTAAACCGTACAAACGGGCGGGTTGCCCCCCTGTTGATCGTATCTTAGAATATAACTGATCACTTATCTCGTCTCTTTTGTTCATGGCTAGTAACTCTTTGTTAAGTTCTTTCTCAATTTTCAGTATCACCTCATCAGTGGTTGCATCTTTTTTCACAAACTGAGCAGATTGCAACAAGGATTCCAGCTTTGATTCATATGTTTGTTTCCTCATTATGCAAAAACCAACCCCCTTATCAAAAGGCACAGCCAGCAACCCATTATCTTTGAGATATTTCCTCGTTTTTTCAACGGCTTTGTCTCTTGGGGTTTGCCGTACGTTTTTTGCATATGCCTTTGCCGCGGCTTCTATTTCACATAACGTTTCACCAGATGTTTTTTGATTTTTCAATTGTGAGAGGAAAATGTCGATATCCGCCAAAAAATGTGTTTCGTTAAATTTGTCTCTAATTGGATGCTTGGGGCCCATTGATAGCACTTCATATACCCATTCAGGCAGTTCAATATTATCAAGTACCCTAACTGATCGCTCATTTCTCCCCCCAAGAGGTTTATCTTGTCTCTCGGACAGTTTTTCTAACTTTTTTCTATGGTTTTCTGATGTTGTCTTTAAGCTTGCCTCAACTTGCCGCCTCACGAATCGGAAAATGGATGCCCACCACTGGATGCCCACCACTGAATGCCATATGCTTATGTTCTTACAAAGCTTGCTCAAAAAAATTTCTGTACTGGGGCCGGCCGCGCCCTGAATTTCAAATGCTAGCGGTTGAAAAAGATATCCATCATTTACAAGATCTTTATACTTGTCAATTTTTCGCTCTTCCGCTTCAGCGGCAGCCGTACCAGGGTCACAAACAGACCCGGCATTAACCCTACAAGGTGCTAAGGAGTCTACTACCGTTACATCCCACAAGAGCTGCTTACCAACAGCCCATGGAACGAGCGTCAAACCGTCTGGTCGCTTCTGATCGGTCCTGTAGAGGTGTCGTGGTTCTAAAACAGACGGAATGTGAGTAGAAGATAAACTCTGCTTCGTAAGGGCATTCAGGTTTGAATGCCTAGAGAATCTCGCTGCCATTTTGAGGCAAGAAAGACTATGCCAACCATCCTCGGTAACGTCTTTTCCGCACACGCATTTATGCCGTTCGCATATTTTTGAGCCTAATCGAAGTCCTATCGCAATTCTGAGTTGTTGGTTCGACAGTTTTAACCTTAAATTTTTGCACGGGATGACGTTCAACCATTGGGAGCCAAATCTATTTTGGAACGCGTTGAATCTTTTTACGTCCGTTGGTTCGAGTCGTAAAATCAAGTTCGCAATTTCGCTGTCAAAAATTGGTTCAGTCCAATTTTTTTGGATTTCATTTTCCGGAGCCATTTCAATTTTTCTTAGTTCAAACCACCGTTTAAGCGCATCATCATAGGTTCCATCCAAATGCTCCAAACCAAAGATTTCGCTCAAGGCATCTTTTGCTCCTACTGATCAGGCTAAGGAAGCGGGTAAAGCGAGTCGGCGAGCGGAAGAAACGCCCAAGCCACCTTTGGCTGCCGGGAGAACTGCTTGGAAAAACTGGTTATCATGCATTTTCACGTTAGTGACCTTGCATAACGAATTTCTTAGTAATTTGTGGTAGCGTTCCAAGAAATCATTTTGCAAAAAACAGGGGCTCGTACGCAAAAAATATAGAAGTTTTGGCAAGCTAAAGCAATTTTTCAGAAGGTGAAAACCTTAATGGGAGTCTAGTTTGTCAATGCCATCCGAGATTCTTTCAAACTCCTTAATTTTTTCCTCGAGCAATTATTTTCGTCAAAGTTCGCCGATTGGAGATCCTAAAATGAGGAGTTCTTCTTTTGTTTTTATGTTTATTTTGGGGCTTATTTTTCGAAATTGTGTTAAAATTGAATTATACTGTGTACTAGTAGTCGGTCCCAAAAA